TTTGATTTTCCGGAGTTCCACTCCACATGCATTAAATCAGCACTTCTGGATCTGAACGAGAGTCTTTAGGGTCTATTACAGCGGGGGGGCCTTCAAAACTAAATCAGTCCAATCACACGGAAGTACAACAAACACTTCACAGAGCCGTTTTGAAGACGGTCGGTGATGGAATCTGTTCATCTGCGTCCGCCGTAGGCCGGGTGAATTTTAGAAGAGCTGAGAGGCAAGACATGATGCTGTTGACCTTAGCAAGTGAGACACAGAGATGGTGACACAACACTAAAAAAATAAATAAAAGCAGTTTTTAATAAGCAGGCCGGCTGAGGACTGGAGGCCCCGTCCAGATTGGATCTGAGGGGAGCAGAGAAGGTAAAGCTGGAGGTTCACATAAAGGCTCCACCTGCGTGGCTACGTCAAATGTTTTCACTTTAATAAGAATTAAAGCGCGTTTCCGCCTCATGAATGTGTTTGATTGCAAAATGAACTAGCAGTTCAGGTAGTTCTGCCTTACAATACCCCCCCATTATGTTAGCCAGCTTTAAGGCTTTGGAATGAGCACATTTGAGCTGGTTTCCACCTGCAAAATGCTGTTGATTGTATCCCATCTGTTTATCTCTATGGATCCACAATCATCTCTGCAAATTCAATATAAAAAAAAGTAAAGTGATTATTCATCTGAATATTGTCATTAAAGAAGCTTTGGATAAATGGGAGAGAAATGGGTGCAGATGATGTGGATACTTCAACAATACATCCAAAGAAAAGGTGCCACTGAAATTAGATCTAACCCCCCACCAGCAGAGAATAAACACTGTCTGGAGGTTTTTCCTCCCTGGAAAACCTGATTAAGTGAAACTGGTCACGTAACTTCAGACTGTTTTTAAATTAAAAATGACTGACAAAAACGAATTTGTATTAAAAAAGAATATAAAACAATATATATATGTATACACACACATATATATGAAAAGTACATGGGAGTCAAAACTGCAAGATTAAAATATAAATTAAAATATAAATACAAAGTCAGCAGCTTTATTGACTGCGAGAAAATATATAATTTTTTAGTAATTTATTTTCCACTTAGAAATAAGTGTGTATGCATTTTTTTGGAAAGCATGTCGTGAAATAATAAAATCTTAAGGAAACACTACACAAATGAATACTTACATGAACGAAAAAAAGAAGTTAAATGACCTCGACATCCTCGTCGTTTCGATTTCTGTAACCATGAATTTACACATTTGATAAATAAATAAACAGTCAACGAATAACGGCAGCATTAATAAAAATATACTATTTTTTTTGGAATAACGAGAGTAAAAAGCTAGATTCAAATCACACATATCTACATTACAACTGTTTGTCGTTGCATTTTTTTCGTTAAAGATTTTTAAAAAATGGAAATATCATTAAACAGAATGTTCGTTTACAAATTGCATTTCTAAAAGGAGAGCCTTTCTCATTCTGCAGCCTATGCAGATGTCTCTTATGTGTCATCCAGAGCAAACCCACCACGTCAGACCTGCTGCGTGCTCGGAGATCTGAGAGGAAATGAAATATTTCTCGGCTGATATAAAAAGAAGCCTTTTGGCCTGAGTTATGGCCCCGCTTTGGCGTTGCTGAGAGGGATGCATGCTGCTGCCTCTCTCCCGCCCCTGAGGAGGCATCATCAGAGCTGATATATGGCCCAGCTCCGCATTACCTTTACAAAACAAAGGATCATCCACGCTTTGGGTCGGAAAAAAAATATCCTTCTGACTACATATCTGTAACCCGAGTCGACTCGTCTGTGTTTAAAACCCGTCCGGATAATCCAAAATACTTCTAAACTCACAGACTAAACTGCTGCTGAAGGGAGGTTTGACGCGTAAAAAAAGGGCTAAAACTGCCAACAGATTCTGATCCTCTCACCCCTTCTCCCTCTTTCTCCCCTTCTCCCTCTTTCTGCTTCCCCTCATTTACCCCATATACCTATTCTGGTATCTCACCACATGACTAAATTAGACCAAAGATGATAAGAGCACAAAGCATTATAATTCCGCCCGGGCTCCTCCTCCTTCCAGCCATGCGTCCTAATTAATGGGACACCCCCAGTCGCAAAAAGCTCTGCACTGGACTGCAACATAGTCAAAGAGTGAAAGGGAAGAGGGCGAAAAGTGCCACTGGAGATAATTGATTAGCCACCAATCAATGATAACTTGTTAGTGATCGTCAACTCCTTGGACCTCGCCATTTTCAGGGAGGATTCTCACTCCTGCGGACTTGCAGCTCCAGAGGACCGACACACTTTTGAGCACATCCCATTTCGGAATAAGATTTGCCTCCTTCTCCTTCTCCCCTCTTTATTTTTTCTTTTTCGCCCCGCGTCCCCGTTTACCTGCAGACTGTTATGTGACTTTACCCCCCCCCCCCCCCAACCCCCAGAACCCGGCTCGTTTCTGACCGCAGCGCAACGACAGCGAAAGTCCCGTAAAGTCCGAGGATGACATCCAAAGAAGTGGCCAAATGCGATGCGGCGGGGGAGGGCAGGAGGCGAAGCCCGCTGGACCACTTGCCGCCTCCCGCCAACTCCAACAAGCCGCTGACCCCCTTCAGCATCGAGGACATCCTGAACAAGCCGTCGGTGAAGCGCGGCTACGGCATCTGCGGCACGGCGCACCTCCTCGCGTCCGCGGAGAAGCACCGGCCCGCCGGCCTGCCGCTGTCCGGCCGCGCGCTGCTCACCCAGACCTCCCCGCTCTGCGCGCTGGAGGAGCTGGCCAGCAAGACGTTCAAGGGGCTGGAGGTCAGCGTTTTGCAGGCTGCGGAAGGTAAAATCTCAGAGCCGAAACACGCAAATTTAGGTTCGGTTGTTTTGGGGTTTTTTTAAAACTCGCTAAAATCTGATTTTATTTTTAAGGACTATACATTTTTAAATATCTAACCAGGAAAATCGTGTCTTTTTCCTTTCATTCTATGGCCTTCTGTGTCTTTGGCTTATTATCCTCGTTTCTGTGTAATCTTTCCTGCTTTTTACGCATACTTTTACGCACACGTTGCAACGATGGAGCCCTGAACCTCCTTCAGTCCACGGTTTTCACTAAATTCCGCCCCTTTTCCTCACAGGCCGGGACGGGATGACCCTCTTCGGCCAGAGAACCACCCCGAAGAAGCGGCGGAAGTCGCGGACGGCCTTCACCAACCACCAGATCTACGAGCTGGAGAAGCGCTTCCTGTACCAGAAGTACCTGTCCCCGGCCGACCGGGACCAGATCGCGCAGCAGCTGGGCCTGACCAACGCGCAGGTCATCACGTGGTTTCAGAACCGGAGGGCCAAGCTAAAGCGGGACCTGGAGGAGATGAAGGCCGACGTGGAGTCGGCCAAGGCCATCGGCCAGGTCCCGCTGGACAAGCTGGCCAAGCTGGCGGACCTGGAGAAGTGCGCCAACGGCACGCTGGGCCACCCGCGCGCCGAGTCCCCCGCGCGCGGAGGCCAGCAGGAGCGCGAGCTCGCGCAGAAACTGCGGACGTCGCCGCTGTCCCCCTTCTCGGACCACACAACTAGCAAGGAGTGCTCGGAGGACGAGGACGTGGAGATTGACGTGGATGACTGATGGCGCCGCGAGGGGGCCCGGAGAGAGACAATAAGAATACTTTTTAATAAATAAAAAAATCCCCAGCGAGGACTTGTAAACTTACTGCTTATATTGTACACCATATCCCAGAACATGTACCAAAATGTAACGACTTTTTCTATCGGCACAGATCGACCTTATTCATAGCGAAGCATGAGCAGAACAAGAAATATGCAGTGATATTTTACCATTTATCCACGAGCGAGTTGTTACTTCTTTCGAAGCAATATGGCCTAAAATAACACGAGTGAGTTATTATTATTATTTTTTACGGAATAGGCCTATACGAATACAACATTTAGACGGATTTAAACGCGGACACACACACACTCACACACACACACACACACCTGTCAGACCTGTCCCCACACACCGCAACGAAAAGTGCTCCGGTTTTTTTCCATTTGTTTGCATGCGAATGCATGATTTGATTTGTGATCATTATTATCTATTTATTTCCTTTTCTTTTTTTATTTTTTATTTTATTCTTATTTGAATGTTTAAGCTATTTCCTGTGAGCCACACGGCCTCTTTTGTCACTGCCGGCTCCCCTCCTCTCCTCTTCCTCGCCATCTTCGGCTCGTTTTGGAGAGAAAAACGCGCACGGTTTTGCGCGTTTCACGACGAGCAGCAGGCGGCACCGCGATGGTTTTTGCCAAGCTATAGGCTACTTTTTAGATTATTGTTTGGATACAATAGAGTTACTGTTCTAAATTTGTTATGTTTTGTACACCTGTAAGTGCCTTTCGAAAATCAGGACATTATTTGAAAACCAATGCACAGACTGTATTGTATATAGGCTACTATGGGAATAAAAATGTCTTTTCAGAATATTTCCTTTATGCTGTATTCTTGAATTTATATCGAGGGGGATAGAAAAGTCTTTTCTAGCAGGAGAGAGGGGGGTAAAAAGATTTTACAAACGGCTCTTGTTGCCAGATCTGCTCGTGTGAGCCCATCCAAAGTGGCCCGTTTAGAGTTATTATGCTCAACTATTTTGTCCCCTTTATGTCCCTCTTTGCGAGTATGCTCTAAACATTTAGTGGCCCGGAATCCCACAGCCCCTTTCACCAGCTTAAATGCGTATCGTGGCTTCTTGACCCTGGGACGTGTTTCTCCATTCGTGCTAAAAATTTATGTGAGAAACACAAATCTGGTGCCGAGGGGGGGGAGAAAAAAAAAGGCGAGGATGCCACAAAAAAAACACAAAGTTTTTGGCCACTTTTCCCCGGGCCCTTTATGGGCCCTTTTTTTTTTTTGTTCTGCGGGACTGGGGCCGTAATTTTGAGCGTAAAGCATGAAAAGTGGGGACAAATGAGCCGCGATCCCTGATGGGACGAGCCACAAAGGAGCAGGGCCGGTCCCCCGCAGGCAGCCATACTGAGACAAGTGTGTGCCACCGCACAGAAAAGGACGCAAACGTTTGGAGGCCATATGGTTTTTGAAATTTCCTCACAATTTCAGACAATTTGATGGATTGAGTTAACCCTCCTTTTAAACTGTTTAACTGGGTGCGAACAAAGGCCATAGTGCCTACATAGACTCTCCCTTCATGAGGGCATCTGCGGCTATTAATGTCTAGCCCCTTTCTTCATCCTGGCGTTTTGAACAAGTCAATGAATTACAATGAAACAGCCTCTTTATTTGTGGGCCCGCTTGTCTTTATCCGCTTTTTTAAGCCCTGGAATAATATGTTTGACTTTTGTCCAAGAAGGTTTTTCTAAACAAGAAATGGATTTGGTCGGGAGGGTTTTTAATGTTAAGCAGGGAGCCATAAAGAGTTTGGACTGTGACATTTCTGCCAAAGTCTGGTTAGGGAGTCCTTTGTTTGTTTCCTTCTCATCTTTTTTTTTTTCTCGCCCCTCTTCTGGCTTTTTTTCTTTATTTCTTTTGTCTTTGAGAAGTTTAATGAAGCTGAAAACATGGTGTGAGAAAGAGACTGTCCAAAAGGCGACCTCCTGTTTAACCCTCTTTGTTCAGAGAAAAGAGAAGTTGAGCTGTCTTCTTGTGACTTGTTTTATAGTGTTTGCTTTTTTAAAATGCTTTCTTTAGACCGCTTTCTTTTCTTTTTGCTTTAAAAAAAAAAAAACAGGTCCACCTAAATAAGTTCACAGGCCTGTGAGCACTTAATATGAATGGGACTATTGTGGATTCTGTGTAAGCAAATTAGTCCTGGTTAAAAAAAAATATATATATATTCTGATTAAACCTCCTTATTGTGAATTTGTGGCTCTAATTTTCCAACGGATTCTAAAATAGTTGTAAGTGTTTGTCATTGGATGTGTCAACAATTGTACTTATTCCTGTGGACACCTATAGCTTGTACTTAAATAGATAATAAATTACTATATAATAAAAGACTGTGGTAATAATGCAGGATAAATCCTAACAAGCTGGAACTGTTGGCAGATACTGCGCATTATATATCATTTTACAAACCACTTATGAAATTCTAACTACACTCATTATTAATGTAAAATGAAGTGGCAAAAAAAAGGCCTAATTCAAATTTATTCCTGTTTAACCTGCTGGCTAAAGGTGACACAAAAAAGACGAAAAGGGGGTAAAAAAAAAAAAAAAGAATCCAGTTGAATCATTTTCTAAAAATGATCTAAAAATGTGAACAAATCCCCCCAAAACTGAGAGTGTGTGTGCATGCGAGTGTGTGCACGAGAATATTCTGAATCGAGCATATTTATGAAGGGAGAGTGTTAAGGCAGGCTAACTTTATGGATTTCACTTGCTTATTTTATGAGGGCTTGTCAGGCGGGCCCGGTGATAAGTAATACTACAGTCTGAGGGACCACTTCGTGGTAATTAATCTGGGGGTCTTAAGTGTATTTCAGTATTTCACTTCAAGATAGAAAAAAAAATCACTACTTCAATCGTCCGGAAAATTGAAGTTTGATGCATGAGTCCCTACTGAAACAATACTACAGCCCTCTCTCTTTCGGTCCCTTCCCCTCCCCTTTTTATACTCTCCCTGTCTCTCTTTTACTATTTGCGCCGTGTGGGCGGCAGTGTCAGGTGCAAGTGCAAACTACAATTTGATTGATTAGTTCAATGTTTTCCACCTTGTCAGCTTAAAGAGAAAAAGAAGAAAAATAGAAAATTATGAACGGCACGAAGGCTTCGGCTCCCTTATATCATCACTATTATCTAAATCATTGTTATTATCATTACTGCTGTTTCTAAATAAGTATTAAAAAGGGGGTCTGTGGGTGACTTGATCTTTGCCTGCAGTTAAAGCACTCTATATTTCTAAATAGAGCCTAAATGTAGAGTTTTAATCATAGCCTTCCTGTGGACGCAGTTAATACTTCAAAACTTCAATTTTACGGGCGATTGAACTAAGCATGTTCCTGACAGAATTGATGTATGTATTAATTTCCTTTAACTGTTGATTAATTAGGCTGCGCTGAAGGCTCAAAAGGAGCGCTTTATTCCAGAAATTTGCATATTAATCAAATTCTAGTTGATCATTCAAATAATCAAGGCTGTGTGAATTTGGTGGCTGAAGCCGGAGAACATGAAAAACAGAAAAATATGTCCTCCCAGACTCCGTTTCTGCAGCTGCCGCCTGAGCCCAAATCAAATATCTGGAATGAGTCGCGAGCAATATTTGGACTAAACTGTTCATCCAGTTTTATTGGAACAAATGGTAATTATCTTAACGAGACATTAACATGAAGTGTGGATAATAAATGGAGGGGAAGCGTGTGACATCTCTGCCTATAATCATTTTGTGCATCATGCGTTCTTTGAATAAGGAAAAAGACACGGGAACAATCACATGTAAATGGCATCGTTGTGGTTATAAATAACTTATCATGGCATCAGAATACACAAATAAATCCCGGTTGAAGAAAAAAAACTTTCAAGCATCCCCCCTGTGAATATTTAGAGAGGTCATTTAAAGGCGGAAGGTTTAGATTTTAAATAGTGACCGTTCTGTTTAAAAGCTTAATTATGTCAAAGTTATGACGGAGTTCGATATAGCTGGGCTGAGGTGGGCAGATTTTCCTCCTCTGGAGATGGGCATGGGTTTTGTTGAAAATAGATGTGGTCTAAATGGCACCAAAATTAAGAGCTCACTATTTTTAAGTGGGGATTTGAAGCGAGGATGTAACTGAAATCCTGACAAGCCATTAACAGCACATGAATACACGCCTGTGGGTGTGCAAAGCAGGCCAGTTAGAGGCGGCCATTCTGAGACTGAGGTGATTAAGCTATTGACTAAATATGCCCGATTCAAATTCTTAAAGGAATCCAGAGCTAAATAAACATAAAAAGATCATTAATTGATAAAAGGGGAAATAACATGAGGAGTTCCTGACAGCACACAGATGCTGAATGAGGAGCTTTTTTGGACTCTGACAGACCCCTGAACCTGAACAAAGAGTTAACAGAAGACTATGACAGTTCAGATTAATGCTGGTGGACATCTTTAAAAAAGAGAGGTAAAATAGGAAACTATGAATGACAAACTTCGAAGAACTGCAAAACGAGACAAACAGCGACACCTGCTGGTGATTACAGAAGGTAATCGCATTGTGTTTGGACAATATGTGCATCATGAAAAGCAATCTGGATACAAAAATTACTGCAAAGTTAAACGAAATAACAGAAATATACTATTTTATTGTGCTTCCCGTCTTATGCCTGAACTGGTAAACTATGCCTGGTTGTGAAAGACAAAGAAAGGTTTTATCTAAGCCCAATCATGTAAATAGTTCAACAGAAAAACTTGAAATAATTACAAAAATCCAGCAGAGACCTGACACTGGACCTGACAGGTGCATGTGGACCCTTCAGTTAATCCATTTCCTGTAGGCCCTCATCAGAAATGGTCTCCATGGAAGGGTGGCTGTCAATAAGCCGTTTTTAAGGAATGGAAACAGGGAGGAAAAGGCTGAGCTCTGCAAAATGGTACGAGAAGTGGACTGGAAATCTGTGACAACAGATCTGAGGGAGAGATGAACCCTCCCCAGATAAGAGTCCGGACCTCAACTTTTTTTGGGAAGTTGTGTAGAATCATTTGACATAAAATGAAGCAAAAGACAGCCATTATCCAAAGAAGAGCTTTGGGATGTCCTTCAAGAAGCCTGGAAAATATTCCTGAAGACTACTAGCCATCTTGTTTCACAGGGTACTTTGTGTTGGCCAATAAAGGTCATTAAAACTTAATGAACCTGTGTTAATAGTATCTTCATATTGATATTTTCACGTGTTTCTTATTATTCTAGCAATATGTAAAGATGACTGTTAATGTCTGTTTTTCACGTGAATTTGACTGTTAATATATTAACATATTAACAATATTATACAGTTAAAAAAGGGACTTCTGCAGTTACGTGCTTTTTTACCGGGACTCTGCTTCAGGTTTGAAACGGCAACAGTACTTACACATTTGTGGGAATCCTGTTTTCATGCGTTTCTGCCAATACAAACAGTTCAAAACGTTAAACTTTGGTGACAGAGAGCGTTTCCGGGAGCTGCGCAGCGCGCGCAACAGCGGCGCGCCTCGGTTCCCCTTTCTGTCGCACACATGACGTCATCAATGTTGGCGGTATTTTGAAACGGAGGCAGCGTCTGTTTTTGCCCGTGTCGTGGATTAAACTGAATTTCATGGATATGGTAAGAGTATTCACGATCTGACCAATGTTTGTGTTTAAGATGTGTACGTATCAATACATCTGAAAGGTGTTTCACGTTTTTACGTGTTGATATAGGTCGTGCTAAGTTGTGCTAATATCTGTTTAACTTTCCTATAGCAGAATGTTAGCATTAACACCTAAGAGATATTTCATTTTTTTACTAAATTGTGCACAACTTCAACACTGGAAAAAAGCTTAATATAAACGTTTTAGCAAATAAAATAATTGTTGGGTGAATTATTTTTGGATTTCCATAATTTAAGTAGCACATTTCTAATAAATGGACTAAAAAAGTTGAGACCCTACTTCCATTTTGTAGTATATGTCTTTTTTTAAAATATAAATGTATAAGGTGTGTGTTTTGACCTGTTTGGTGTGTGTTCAGGCTGAGGTGGCAGCATCCCAGCTGTCAGAGGCTGCTCAGGCAGAGCTGCTGGACATGTGCGAGGACCAGTTCAGTTATCTGGAAAAAGTAAATGTTCCTTTTAACACCATATTCAACAGGATCACTCTGAATGTAACCATGCGTCGATTGTCTTTAAAACATACGAACCTCAAACTGTGTGTGTGTTGCAGCTTCAGAATGAGATTATTCTCTGCGAGCCAGATTCCTGCCAGAATCCACAGGACCAGGTGGGATGATTTTCATACAATTGTTGTCAGCTATTAGTTTAGATATGATAGAAAGTGACCTTCTACAAGCAAGACAGAATTGCATTAAAAGGAGTTTTTTTTTTATTGAGAAAAGTAAGCTTTTCTTCTGATTTTTGTTTGAAATCCTACTCTTTAAAATTATGTTCAAATGCATATATGAGTATGTCCAACTCTCTGTGGATTAAACGAAAGTTTTATATAGTTTCAAAGCATGGGAAATGCTGCTTTGAATGCATAAATAACGCACTCTCGATGCATTTGCATTATTTTCTGTTAATGGTAAATCTTAATCACCAACAGTCGGTGAACAGACTGGTGGCAACAGAGGCTGAGCTGAAGCAGTGGCTGGCAGTGGAGCCAAAATGTAAGTCCCAAACCATAAGAGTGGTTAAGTTTGACAGCTGAAATGTGGATAAATGAAGCCACAGCCTAAGTTTCGAGCTGCTTTTTGCATCGTAAGTGATTTCAACTTTAGTCATTTTAGGCTTTCAATTTAAATTTCAGATGTATGTGTTGTTATATGTTGAGAGTTATGTTGGATTTGTTGTATTTAACACGTATGTCTTTGCTATTTTAACTTGCTCCTTTCAGTGCTTGCAACAAATCCTGAAATTTTACTTCAAGCTGGAAAAGAGGAAGTAGGTCTAAATGTAAAATGTAACACTTAGTCTCTGATATTGTAAAGGATCTGTGGTTCTAATGCAGTTCTTTTCTCCTTTTGTTTCATGCAGATGCTCAAGCTGTGCTCTGAACTGGAGATGGTCGTTTCTTGTTGTGAAGCCAAGAAAGACAAACTGAGAGAGACCAAAGAGCTGTGCGTTATGTCCCCTAATGTGCTTCAGATTAGCTTCAAAATGTCTTCTGTTTATGCATTGAGCAGAAGCTTTATCCAAAGCTTTTCTTTCACAATTTCCTGTTTCCCAACCCTTGTTTTTTCTTTTTGTTTTACAGTGAACAGAAATGGCTGGAGGAAAAGAAGCAAGTGCATATAGCTTTCAAGGAGCACGCTGTGCGGCTTAAAATGGAAAAGGAGACGTTATCAGAGCATAAGTGAGTGATGGGAAAGTCACCTTATGTCAAGCCAGCCCAAGTTTTGGGGTGTTAAAGAAGCAGATGGCAGCAAAACACATTTGAATGCTTCATTTTTAAGCTTCTAAAGGTTATTTAAAGCATATATGTGCATATGCGTGCATCCCAGCGTGCTGCAGGACACCAAGGCAAAAATCCAGAAAATGAAGGATTACCAGGAAAGGCTGATGGAGTCTCTGGGGGATGTACTGGAGAAGCACGTGCCCCCCCCTCAGAATGAAGCCAGCACAGGGAAAAAGAAGGTGCAGTGAGCAGCTCATCATGACAAAATTTGAGTTCTTTGCCTCCATAGCACCTCCCAATCGTTTGTTTTCTTTAACAGAACACGGCCCCCGAGGTAAAGGAGGACCTGGTGTCACTCTGTGAAATCCTGGAGGTGGGTTTGCACACGCACAGAGGCATGTGATAAAATCCATGATGAGGGTGGAAATATGGATCCAAACAAACGCTGCCGGTCCCTTCAGCTTTGCTCTTAAACTACAGTTAATTCTTCTTTGGTCTGACAAAAGTACATCTTTAAAAGTGGTAATGATGCTGGAATACAAAAGCCCACAAAAACACATTCACACCTGGTTATTGCTAGTTGTGTTTATAATTTTTGTAGTCTTTTTTCATTAACTTGTAATATAAATGAATAATAATATAAGTAAATAATAGACTTGGTTTGAACATTGAGGACCGGTAAAAACACTGTTTCTTGAAATGGGATGAAAACTTTTGTTCCGTTAGTGTTTTTCTGTAACTTTATGATGGAGTCTAATTGCTGAAAGGATTTCAATGTATCCTGGGATGGCAATGATGAGTTTGAAAGTAAGCTTAAAATAAAACTAGAGCCATGGGGTTGCTGTCTAGAGGGATATACAGAAATATTGGGAGCTACTCGTTTTCCCTGACTAGGATGTAAACATTGGCCGGTTGGGCTTTGTACAGTGGATTCTGTGGAGGACTTGACTCTGGTATAAGTTGTGGTCACCGTGAGTAGAATGAACCTTCTTCTTTGTCACAGAAACCTTCTGTTGGAGTCCTGACAAATACACAGATGTTATTATGATTCTCTCCTTGTTCTGAAACATTACATCACATCTGTAATGACTAGTGTTTTTTTCTTTTGCACAGACTCCTCCTTTATATACCCTCCTAATATCTATCTAGAGGTTTATTATTGATTAACTTTTTCCGTTACATAACTTGTCTCTGTGTAGTTGGGGTTCATTGTCCAGTTGGAGCCATTTGTCCAAATTCCTGTTAAGTTCAGGTTTGAGATGTCTGGACGTGTTCATCGGTTGGTAGAGTTTTTTCTGGTCTGAAGGTCTGAAAAACATAAATCCTTCAGTCCGTGTTTGTCGAGCCAAAGCATGACTTTTAAATCAAACTGTGGGATGATCTATAAAATAGTTACAAGTAGCAGGATTTCATCTGTGTTTTCTCCGTCGTGGTTAAATGATTAACTGGTTTCCCTGTCCTGTGGATTTCTCTGGGACAAGGACAGAGTTCCCTCTAGCTTTACCCAGTTGAGTTAACTATGTCTAAACCATTTATTCTTTGTCTAATCTTACCCTAAAACGTCCCCTCCAAAGGGTTTTGGAGGCTTGAAGGTGTCAGCGTTGGAGCAACTTCCAGTTAAAACCCTGTATTGTATTTCTTGAGCATTTCTTCATTCCTGAGAATCGACACTGATTTTTAAATTATTTATGTTATTGGATGAGGAGATCTTGTGAAAGTTGTTGAACTGATTGCTTGGTCATTTTTTAAAATGGAGATCTCCTAACATGTGAAAATCTTTGACCTGCACTGTGAGCTCCTCGACTTTAACATCAGCTCAAACACGTAAGGAGAAAGTTTTCATTTCACCACAGACGATTTATTTGTGATTTTCTTTTTTTTTTCACTATTCCATTTACAAAACTACCGAAAAACCTGCTCAGTTTGCAGTTTTTAGTACAATCACTCTGAATGTTATCTAATAGAAAAAATCTCAAAAGAACAGCACATCTGGGAGGATGTGTGTAAACATCTGGCTGGATGAAGCATGAATTGTTTCATCCGGCAGGAAAATCATTTTTTTCTTGCACCAGTATTTTGTAAGTTGGAATAAGTGGCTCCAGAACAGAGTTATGATGCGTTCCTCTGCCCTTTCCACCCCTCTCACAGGTGCTCATGAACAAGGCCCTGAACACGCCGCATGACCCCTACGTCACACTGGACAGCACGTTCTGGCCTCCGTACGTGGAGATGCTGCTGCGCTACGGCATCGCCGTCAGACACCAGGAGAGCAACTTCAAGATCCGGCTGGAAACCTTTTTCTAGCCACGTGCTGAGCTCAGCTTCTAACTCTTCCATACTGTTCATTCAGCCGTGTGAAGCAGCAAAACGTGTTGTTTTTCTGAGTTGCTCATTTGGGTTTAAAAAGTTTTTAAAGTTTCAAGACACGTTTTTAAAGTTTAAAAAAAGTATAAAGTTTGTCAGATGTTTTTTACTGAATGAGTAACCATGAGTCTTATTTTGAAAGATTTTAGTTCTCAAAGTGTTAGCATGTTATTGTTTATAATTTGTTTTTTTTTTTCACTGAACCATTTTTGCTGCGTCTGCAACAGGAAATCAGATTTTTACAGGATCTGAAGCTACACATGTATGTTTTGAAATTTGTGTTTTTTATACTGTCTTGTTGTTTAACAAATTTGGAAAATTCATATATAATGTTGCAATATTATCATTCCACAAAGAATTATAGGTAGGAGAAGTTGAATTGATGTTTTTTGTAAATACAATAGATGTGACTAAATTACTTTAATTTTGATAATTTATGCTAACTGGAGGACGACTAACTCCTGTGAATTGTGTAAAAGCCTGAATATTTGGAAAGGCTTCCCTTATGATAAACAATGTTCTTCAAAATTCAGATTCCAACTTTTCTTAATCGACTCAAGAGATCAGGATTGGTTCTTATCTTGATTTTTTTTTCTTTCCTTTTCACTTGATTCATTTAAAATCAAGCCTGACTTATGGTCTGTGTAAGCAGTAAGGGGTATGTTCTGGAGCTAGATCGATTATGGTGTGGAAAAATGGCCGTAACATCATCAGGCCTACTTTCAATGGGCGTAATCAGAAAAATGTCCAGAAGTCCTTCAGTGCAATTATCAGGCTGAACAGCTTTTTAACCTCAGCAAACTCTCTGTCGTACCTGAAGATACGTTTGCATAGTGAGATTTGCAAGAATCTGTTTAGGAAAGGCAAATTACAAGGTGGGTCCATTATTTATTCGCCTCATTTTCACGTAAACAAGAACAAGAAATTACAATATTTTTTATCAAAATAATCTGACTTACAAAGGCATATTAAGTACATATACCCCTGTAACAGTTTATGTATATTTGTTAGTTTTGCTTTACCTAATAAAAAGTTGTTTTGAGCATCTCCGGGTCTCCCTGTGACTTCATCAATTTTTAATATGAATTTTAATCGTTTGGGTTCATTAGTACGTATCAAATGACGTCAGAGCCACCGTCCAATCCGGAGCGGCCGCCGCGTCAGCTCTACATTCTTGTGGGCGGAGAAGAGATTCCGGTTCCGGGTGTTTTCATTTCCCAGTCGGAGGCTTTCCAGACCTCTGATTATGACATTTTATCGGAACCTTCTCTCGACTCTCGATTGATTAAAGCCGCGCTTCTCCGAGTAAGGAAGTCCCGCTAAGAGCCGTGACCATGACGACCCGCTCGGAAAGGGAAAAGGCCCAGAAACTTAACGAGCAGCACCAGGCCATCCTGTCCAAAATGCTGAGGGAGGAAGACAACAAGTACTGCGCCGACTGCGAGGCGAAAGGTGCGCCGTCCACACCGTCGACCGCTTCCCCCTTTCTTTATCTAAAAAGTTGGCATTTGAACCTAAAAGTGTGACGCCGGCGTGTGTTTGGTTTATCTAAGCTAACCGGCTAACTTGTAGCTGGCTCGGGCTAATCAGCTGACATTTCCTCCTCTTAAGCTAAACTAAGTGGCTAACTAGCTAGCTAACTTCTGTAAATCTACCTAAGCTGCCCCGGTGTTTCTCCATCAGCACCGCTCTCTGTTCCGCTGTTGGGTTTAAGAAACAGCTGTAGGACTTTAGAAGACACTTGTGTCTTAATTAAGTGTTTTTTATTATTATTATAAGGACTCATAATTCAAGTTTAGCTTCTGACTTTAAGGAGAGAGCAAGCTTTATGTTTGGGGTTTATCCTCCATGATCCTAAAGTGTTGTGTCCCCCACAGGTCCCAGATGGGCATCCTGGAATCTGGGAGTTTTTATCTGCATCCGGTGTGCAGGCATCCACAGGAACCTGGGAGTACACATATCCAGAGTGAAGTCCGTCAACCTGGACCAATGGACCTCAGAACAAATCCAGGTAAGTTTTTACAGTCTGGGAAATGATCGTTCATTTTTTTTATCTGTGATGTGGAGTTTATTTCTTTGTATGTTCTTACACCGTTGACTCGACTGAAGCTGAGTTGAAAAACAAGAATTTTAAATTATTCTACAATTATCTTTGTTTGAATAAAGATGTTGATGTTGTGTTTGCAGGAATTTTTATAGCTTCACTTTTTATTTTCAAAACTTCATGAGCATTGTGCTTTATTTTGCCCCTCGTCAGAGTATACAGGATATGGGCAACACCAAGGCCAGGCAGCTTTATGAGGCCAACCTTCCAGACAGCTTCAGAAGACCTCAAACAGACCAGTATCCTTTTTCTCCCTTTAATAAGTACTGACTGTTATAGTTTTATAGCTGTGTTTTCCCCTTAACTCTTTACCCAGAGCAGTTGAATTCTTCATCAGGGATAAATACGAGAAGAAGAAATACTACAGCAAGAATGTGATCAATGGGAGCAGCGTACGTATAAAACACACAGTCTGTCTTTGGATGTGAGGCAGATTCATCCCCTCACCCTTTCTCTGCTGTGCTGTTTCAGCCGAAAGACAGTAAGAGAGAGAAGGAGTCTGGCAGAGGGAGCAAAGCATCGTCTTACGCTAAGGTAAGAGCCTCACAGACTCGTGTGTCTGGGTCGTCTTCAGATCTTTGCTTTTTTACTTTACTAACAACTGTTTTACTCTGAAGAGTGAAGAGTCCCGGCCAGCTCCTAAAGTCAGCCCCGTTAAGACTTCAGAACCCTCTGTGAACCTACTAGGCCTTGGTGGGTATCAAATATTGATGCTGAATCATCATTTGAATGAGCTTTCGGAGCAAGTTGTTTTCTGTTTGGTTACAGTGTAGCCACTTTAAACGGATCAAGGCCCACAAAAGCCACCTCATTCCCACTTATCTTTATCCAAACCACCCATCATTCACTGCTTATTAGAATACAGCCAGTCGGGTTTTAAGTGAATGAATGTACCAGGACCGGGGGGGGGGTTCCCATCGTTGGGCCCAGCTGTGCACGTAATCGTGCTCAGAGTTTGTAAATGGTGGTTTGCTGTTGCGTTTCACGCTCTGCTTCTGTTTTTTTTTTTTACATTCAAACGTTCTTCCTTCCGCTTAACATCAGAAGGCCCTAAGAGTGAGTTCAGAGGTTTTCAGAAAGGGAAGTGCGGCAGCTGCTGAGTCAGCTGGAGGAACCGCAGACTTCTGGTTTTGTTTAGAGAAGAGAAGAGTCAGCCTTTGGCTTGTTTTGGTAGTTCAGTATTGAAAGTGACATGAAACTTCTTGAGTTCTGTAGAATTAAAAGAGGAAACAAAAAAGCTTCCAGATGTTGGACAGGCAGCTGTTGCTGGTTTGTGATTGTGTTATTTTGTTTTTTGTTACTACCTATTTTTTTTTTTAATGTCTCTAATGTGAATGTTTCTGTTGATTTGAATGCGGACATGAGCGATCAAACGCTTCATCTTGTGTATCTCCTCTTTTCTATGAAATTACCAGGACTGTGTCCATTTGCGTGTGTATTCCTGTGTAATGAAATCCGCTTATATTCAAATCAGTTTCCTGCTGTTTGGCCTTATTCAACTATCTAAAGTAAGCTGGCACTCTTTTACTGTCCCGGCTGTGTGACAGTCCTGTAATTAAATGCATATTTTCCCATTGACGCGTATCGTATTTGGGTTGAACTTAATGTGAAAGTTGTCAGCGAGGTGTGTTTTCTTGATTTAAAGAGGCCTCGTGTAATTTCTCTCTTGTTGCCGCCGGCTTAACTTCCACCTGTAAAACCGGTTTGTCTCCCTCTGTGTCGCAGACGCACCAGTGGCTGCATCCACTAACAATGGTAGCATGAGCACAAGCAAGAGCAGCGACCTGGATATCTTCGGCCCCATGGTGTCCAACCCTTTACCTTCGTCCACATCCCAGGCTCAGTTTTCTCAGGTAAAAGCCAGGAGGAGTTCCCCCGTTTGGGTTTCATTTCAGCTCTTTACGTGCTGCTCGGCAGGACCAGTTCCTGGTTGGAAACTCAATTTAGCAAGCACTAAAAATAAAAAGGCAAACGATAGCCATCAGCACCAATAGGCCCCGAGACCACCGCCTGGACACGGAGGCACTCTGAGGTCCAAAGAAAGAGAAGCAGGAAAGGAATAAATGCAGAATTTAAATTAGGAGCTGATTTAAAACTGCTAAAACTGAGATCAGCGGCTTCTTAGCCGCACCATGACGTCGTAGTAGTTGTTTACAGCTCTTTTTTTCTGTATTTTTAAGGTTATGTGCACGTTCATTTTGAAATCAGCTAGATTTTTATCTCGCTCTAAAAATAAAAAATTCCTTAAATATGTCACCTTTAGCCCATTAGGTGAAATGATCTGCAGCATCAAAGGTAGCCGGTAAAAAAATAAATAAATAGGAAAAGGTACCCGGTCCAGGACGAAATGTATTTAGATACGCTTTGGTTTGCCGACACGTAAAGCCACTCAAAACAAAGGGCCAAGTGTTTGCCCGATTCGATTAGCCTGCGTTTCTTTTTCCTGAAAAAGGCAGTAAGCTGAGCCCCACTGGAGCTGAAAGGGGAAACGACATTCAAACAGTTGTTTGCACTGTAGTTTTTTTTTGTTTGTTTTTTTTCCAGATAAAAGGAGACTTCAGCTTTTATCTGAAAGCTCTATTAGTTTAACAGACATTCATTTACTCTCCCTCCTTCAGTTTCTGTTGATTTTATTCCACAAACTTTCTGTTTAGCAGGTTTTTGTGAACTTTGCAACTTTGACGTTAAAGTTTGTTGTCGAAGAAACGCAAGAAAATGTGAAAGCTGTTCCATTTTCAATCACTCAGGTTAGAATTTCTGAAATATTGTAGAGAAAAAATAAGTATTTATGATTTATTAATTAATTAATTCATTAATTATTTTTTAATAAAGGTCAATTAGGGAAGAGATCAAGCTGTTTGGGTGTCTGGGCTTCCTGTCAGACCTACAGTTATGTAATGTGCCGCCCTATCTGAGACAGTTTGCATCATAAAGCTCAGACACAAACAGACCCTCCATGCTGTGTAACCGTGGTGACGTTGCATGTTAAATGACGCTCAGGCGCTCTCGCCTTCCTCCAGGTGAGCTCCAGTAACCCGGCCAGCACGCCACCACAGGCGCCGGCCGCCGGGGCGGGGGGCGGGGCCAGCGGGGGGGCGGGGCAGGAGGAGTTCGGCCTGTTCAGCGAGGCCAGCAGCTCCACTAAAGCCGAAGACGGGGGCAAGAAGCCGCTGTCCAAGGACTCCATCCTGTCCCTGTACGGGACCAACAGCATGGCCCAGCAGCCCCCCGCCGGTGAGCAGAGTCCTCAAACACTCCACCACTTCTCAAACACTAACTAAAATTTCATTTATTTTCATTTATTTTGAAACATGATGTGATTTATCACTGATTACATTGAATGCTTCATAAACATGCATCATGTTTAAAAAATGAGTAGGATGAAGCATAAGCTTATTAAGCCCTACCCCTCAGTTACATGTGTCATGGTGGTAAAGGACAAATAAAGTGGAACTTTTCTGTAAGATTTTTTCTTTCTTTTGTTTTTTTTTGCTTTAATGTCAGTTATAAGTAGATTTTAGACATCTACTTTCTTTCCTTTTTTTTCCCTAATGGTAAATTTGAAATCCAAACGCTGTAAGCTATTTTTAAAGCAAGGGACAATGTAACAACTGTGTACTTTTAGCCGGCCAAATCTCAGTTTTGTTTATCTGGAAAATGTTTCATCAGACATTAGTCCAGCTCCTTTTTTACAACCTCAGAAAACAAATTGTTCTCCCAGGCCGTGCTGAGTGAAAATGGCTACATATGTGCTTCTGAATGTCTCCTTATCACCCCGGATGTTCTCTTCTCCTGCCAGCTGGGATGTTCATGGGCCCCTCTCAGATGCAGTTTCCTGTCCAGGCCCCCGCCGGCTACCAGGCCTTCCACGGCATGGGCACCCCCATGCCGCCCACCACCGTCATGGGGGCCATGATGGCTCAGAGCGGGGCGGCCATGATGGGCCCCAGCCAGGGCATGATGGTCGGGATGACCATGCCTAACGGGTTCATGGGGAACGCGCCCGCCGCCGGGATGATGGGCATGGCCCCCCGGATGATGGGACCACAGGGCGTGGTGGGACCACAGGGCATGGTGCCCGCTCAGGGCATGTACGCCCTCCAGCCCGGGCAGCAGGCTCCGTGGAGCATGGGTCAGGTACGGACACTCCAGTTTAGTTTTATTAGGATCCCCATTAGCTGCCAAATAAATGGCCACTAGTCTTCCTGGGGTCCTCACATGAAGAAATCATATTACATTATAAACAGATCATAAAAAATAAAAATCACAGTAGGAAATAATAAAAACATAAACAAGAGTAGAACTATACAACATATATACACAGGTCAGTTCATCTTATCACTTGCAGTAGTTCTGAAGACACAATATTTTTTAAGCTTGTTCTGTTCTGAACTCTTCGTGTGGTTATTGGCAGTTCCAGTGAAATATGGCTCTATAATGGACTGTGGATTTTAGAGAGTTTGTTACTGTTAACTATGAAAGCCGTCTATGCATTGAAGCCACATTTGTTCTCTGTGACCACTCTAGCCGCCCTGTTTTGTGCCAGCTGAAGCTTGTTGTGTTCGTCTACGTGGGACTGGCGGCCAAAAATAATGACTATCCATTTCAGGTTTTAGCATCGTGGTTTGTAGCCCGGGGTTTAGCAATGCCACCCGGTGGCCACTAGATGGCAGCACACACCCGATTTCAGAACTGGACCATGTGGCTTGAGCCCAATGCTAGGGGCCTCTGACCAGATGGGGGGGGGGGGGCTCTGACAGCTGAAAAGTGACTTAATGAAGTGAAACCTCAAAAAACACTCAGATGTAACAGCTGTTCACATCTACGGAAGTAAAAACTAGTTTGTAGGATGTTATAACAGAATTAAAGAGCTGTTTCTAAACTATTCTACATGCTGGTTTTGGAGCTGCTTAAGACTACTTTGTAAGCTTAAAACCTGCATTATAAGCAAAAATCATACACTGTTATGCTGTTTGGAATCAAAGCAACTGTTTATGTGATCAATCTCTGAGCTCAAACTACAACATATTAGGGATGTCCCAATCCAGCTTTTGCACTTCCGATCCCGATCCCGGCCAATCAGAGCATGTATTAAAGTTTGAAGTTATTTATCTACTTACTTAGTTGTCAGACTCATGAACAGGGATTTACTCTGATAACAACTTAATGGTTAGGACACAGACCTGTGGGTCAGGAGATGCTAATGCTTGTGTGGGATCGGACTTTAAAAAAAATTTAATCTGGAGTCTGGATCTGCATTTTCTCCTGCCGGCCAATACGCAGTTTTTTTGCAAATATCGGCGGCTGATCCGATCCAGATATCAGATCGGGACAAGCCTACAACATAGCTTGGCATATTCCTCAGTAAATGTTAGAAGGATCTGCTTTTTGTGGCGTTTTAAAGGCTCTGGAGTGTTTAGTTGGAGCCGGTTTTGGTGTAAACACTCCGGCTGACCCGTCCCGTCCTCTGCCCCCCCCTCAGGTGAACCAGCAGATGTCGGGGATGACTCTGAACGGCGCGGGTGGCCAGATGGCCTTCGGTCAGCCTCCGTCCGCCATGGGCGGCTGGGCCGCGGCCGGCTCCGGCCAGACTCTCAGCACGCAGCTGTGGAAGTGAGCCCCGCAGTGACCGGGCGGGCGGGCAGAGGACGAGTCGAGGCTGCAGAGAGTCCAACATGTAACTTGTGCTTATCTGCACCTTCCGATGAACTAATGCCCATTTCCACGGTGGACCAGCCCGGAGAAGGTCACAGCTGTTTCTTTCTATTTCTCCTGCTCCCCCTTCTGTCTCTCTTTCTCTCTATTGTGTGAGTGAATTGGGAGTTATACAGGATTACAGCCTGGCAGCTTCTGCCTGTCGTACAGTTTTTAATTTTCCTTTTTTGGAAAAGAAAGAAATTACAAGGAAATAACAGTCCCACCATCGACATATCAGTAAAGCTGCAGGACCAGTTACACAAGCTTTTATTGTATCACTGTATCATTATAAGATTATAGTACATTCAATTGAATAGTATTTAAAGGGAGAAGCTATGACTACCAGCCAGTCAGTACTTCTTCCAAATGTACAGCGCTGTATAACCTTTTAAAGTACTTGTGGTTCCCCTATAAAAATTAAAGTGGTAATAAATCACTTGCTCTCGTGTGTCTTCTGTGATAAAAGCTTGGACTCCAGATGTTTTCTGTGCAGCTGGTCCTCATCCAGAGGTTCTGCATTTAAGTAAACAGCACAGAGAAGACCGTTGGAAAACCGGGGTTCTTCTCATGCAAAGCAGTTTACATTACGGTGACCACAAAGTGACCACAGTGGCTCATCAGAAGCTACTGAATAAATTTCTTATCCAAAAACATCTTTTTTTTTTGTTTAATTGATGTCCATCACAGTGGTCCTGCTTGGTGAAAGATTTAGTCAAACAGATCCCGCATCCTCTCTCGATATAAAACTTGATACGTTTTTGTTTTTTTGTGTGTTTTTTTTAAAGCACTCAGCTCTGTCTTTTCCAGATTGTCAAATGGACAGTTTTGTTTTATTTTGAAAATGTGCTTCAGCATATCTTACCTTTAGAAAGTTAAATGAATCAAACACTTTAGGTGGCTGAGGTTTAGCCACCAGGTCCCAGTGATTATTCATTTTAATTCCACACTAATAAGTTAATTTAAATCAATTTAAGTACAATTTAATGGCATCTCTACACAGCAGCCGTATCCTGTGACTTCTTTTGTTCTATTTTAACTACATGTGTGGTCGGTTAATTTCAACCTGTTCTCAGCATGAAAAGACAAAACCCCAAAGTTTGTTGGAAGTAAATGCAGCTGCATTGTCATGTAGATGAATAATAGCAGATTTTAATATTCATGATTATCTCTGGATTCAACTGAGTAAACAAGGAGCTAAATTCACAGAAGTGTCTGATCTCCTCCCGATTTAAAGGTCTGAACGCTCCATTTTACAAAACAGAGACTCGGGACATAGCAGTGCTCTTTATAATGATCAGCATGGGAGAAGCAAAGGAATTCTACCAAAAAATACCTTTTTAAAGAGACTAAAAAGGGATTAGAAGTATTTTTATGGAGGAGTTTAAAAGGAAATAACTCCCTGGGGGTGCATATGAGAATTTATATTATATTGTGTGATATTTACTGTAGTTTTACAAGCATTTAATTTAGTCCCAGCCAGCATGAAGGAGACGTGGGTTTTTGTTTTAGTTTAGAGGATTTCCATTAATCTTGGCAGGACAAAGTGAGTCTGAATTCCCTGCTTCAGTCACAGAAACAAACAACTCTTCCTCTAGGTGGCAGCGCTGTCCTGTTGAAACCCCCCAAGCGGACTGGCACTCTTTTTTCTTTTTTCTTTTAATGAACATCTCTCAATAAGGCCAACTAAAAGCCTGTTGTGTGCAGTCCCAGTGGGCAGCAACACACAGGCTGCCCTATAACCAGCCGTGAGTCATCCAGCGGAAAGCTGGGCTCTGCTCCCCTCAGAGTGCTGCTTGGTCTTTGCTCAGTGCCAAAACATTTCAACCACACTCTGTGATGCACTTCCACTTTAAAAAGCATTTTTCAGATGAGTCTGTTCTTTGCTCTGTTTGTAACCGGGGTGATGAGGCACGTTTTAACAGGCAGATGATGGATTTGAATGGTTTTGTAACGGAACATTTTATCCAATTATTTTATTTGTATTTGTTTTCTCTATATTTGTATTTTTTTCTATATTAAATGGATCAGGAGAATGTAAGTTCCGGGGTCAGGCTATTGTAACTTTGGGGGGAGGATATAAACAGGGCTCACGTCAGTTGGAACATCACTCAAGTAGAGGAAAGATGTATTCTGTGTTTGTCAAATAAAATATACTCTTCATCCTATCTGTAGCCCGTCTGTCCCACGCCTCGGTAACGAAGAAACAAGAACAAGTCCCAAGAAGGTGTGTAATTTAAAGGGTTACAGTTTATGACATGATGGCTGACTGTGACACGGGGCCACATCTGCTTCTCTGTGGGTCTGAGTCAGGTACAAAACATTGGTCCTACCTGAAGTCGGTTTGGTGTTGGAGGCCGTTCTGCCACACGGGTGACGACACACTGCTTAACAACAGCACAACAACGCAACACAAACACGCCGGCGCTCACATGGCTGCACTATGACAATTGCCTCATACCTAAACATTTTTAGAGACCATTTAGAAAGCATGACAAAGGCTCTCCATTGATGTGGCAGCTCCTCAGTGGGAGGACAGTGGCCCCCCACTAGACCTGCTTCAAAAAGGGCTCAAAGATAGCTGAAATGTTCACCGGACCAGTTGGGCAGTTTTAGGGGGAAATGAGGAGAAACCCACGTGGTTTTCAGTTCAGCTCCTGGACTGATTTCCTCTCGTGTTTCACTTGGTAGCGAGCTTTTCCTCCCATCTTAAACCGTTTACAAACTGTGACTTAAAGAGCCTACGGTAATAATGCATGTTCATGATGAATGCCCCTCTGTTTGGTTAAATGTGGAAGCACACTCACATAATTTGACTCTCATCGTGGTCCTGTGTGTTTAGTGTCTGGCAGATTAGTGGGGAAAATGTGCCTCACTATGCCTCGGAGGAGGTTTAATCAGTGGTTTATTTTATGGCGTAGGTATACTCTAAATTTAATGTGCCTTAAGAGGGATTGTGACAGAATATGTTTTTCTAAACGCCACCACTTTCAGGTTTTCTGAATCTCCGCCCTTTGTACATCTGCCCAGCCCATGGGAAGCTTAAAAACAACCGCAACGCAACAGGATGGTACCTATTCTTTGTCTAAGCTCAGTCTGTGAAGGAACAATACACTATTTGGAATAATATAAGCTGGGAAGCTCTGTACTGGTCTTCAGGCTTTTGGGATTTTATGCTGGGTGTGTTTCTTTAAACCAGCACTACCTGTTAAACTCCCCCTCCCGTGGCCCAGCCTGGGCTCTGGGAGACCACACTCCAAAGTGTGTTTTGTTAGTGTGAGAATACACCGACACACACACAGTAAGGAGGGATCAAAGGGTATGAAAATAATTTAAAAATTCACATCCATCCTGTGCTTGGCAGGGCCTAAAAGCCTTGGACGGGACTTGGTTTTGTTCCACCCCTGCACTCCTCAACTGTTCCTACTCCTGAAGCCCGGTTTTAAAAACTTTCACAGTGTGGTCTGATGCCATACGGTGCCCGAGACCTTTAGCAGTGAGGTTAGGCATTCCTCTCGGCATGTGAGTCAACCTAGCCCCGCTCCACAACGGAGCGGCCCATTCCAGGGAAGAGCGCCCCTGCTCCCTCCAGCCTCCGGTGGACTTCCTGACCCTGTGACATCAGCATTCCTGCTGATATGGATGTCGTCAGCCTCCAGTTTAAACGGTCCAGATGTGACTTGTACTTAACCAAACATGTCCCAGATACAAAAGATCAGTTTGACTAGGTTAAATTACACATTGAAATAAAGCAGACAAAGAGCTTGTGAAGGATTAGGCTCTTTACTCTCTTTAAATCAGTCTGTTATAACCTTCAGCTATAGTAAATTAATGGATGTGAACATTAAGGCTAATATTTTTTCCTGTCTCTGATCCACTGGACAAAAGTAAAGAACAATGAAACTTGAACATTTAGGCTGGAGTGGTCATAACATTATCATTACCGACTTATAATTATTTGAGTCCTCTCATTGCAGCTCTGAGCAGTTAGCCTTTTGATCAAATTACATCCTGGAACATCTGGTTTTCAGACATCGGCTACAGATCATGCAGGTTTTAGGGTGAGATTACAAATGCCATCAACTCCCATCAGTGTCAGGAAGTTTTGGAGGTCAACTCAGTCTCGAAAATTTCAGTCTTTGTGATCTTCCTGAGCACTTTCTTTTTTTTTTTCTGTTGGGGGAAGATGCAAGTAACAAACGTTCAAAGGCGAAACCTGACAGGAAAATGTTCTTTTTAAGCTGCCGGAATGTGAATTTGACGTACTTGCTTTTAGTATAACAGCTGACCAGTGTTTGGGAGTGTAGAAAGAGAAGAAGCGTGACACAATCTGGTCACTCCGAAAAATGGTCTGGAATTCCTGGAACTGATCCAAAGTGCTGCGCCCAGAAATCTAAGGAAAACCGCCAGGAAACCTTTTACTCTTTCTTTATTTTACTGATACATTTATAGTAGAGAGAAACATCAAAATGAAGATTTTTCTGGAGTTGTTGGTCTTCATAGAAAACTGTTTTTTCATTTGACATTATATAAACTAGATTAATTTAATTGTGAAGATCATGATTTGATTGAATCATGGTTAATTGGATCCAAATCAGATAAGTTTGGGTTGCATCATTAGAGGTCCTGGAGATGACTTTTGGTTGGGTATTAATGCATGAAAAAAGAACTTAAGTAGTCATGAGAATGGGTAAATTGATTATGTTGTTATCTTGAGATAGCTTGTTTTCCCGAGATAAGGGGTTCAGGATTTTTGCTCGTTTGGGTCACTGGAGTTTGTTTTCCTGACACTGCAAACAGTTAGATTGGCTCCAGGACAGCCCCGGTGGACCCAAAGTAGTCGGCTAAACTCCTATCAACGCTAGCTGTCATTCTGTATGTAAAACTCAGTATTAGAGATCATACTGGGGTGTAGGGATGGGAATCAGTGGAAAAATTAGGTGCTAACACTGGGCATATACAAAGATCTGAGGCAAACCAATATAAAAGAATAAAAATATGATGATGTCTTGAATTGACTCTAATCAACACAACCAAATAGGAATCTTCGGTCTTGAGATAAAGACAATTAAAAACCATGTAATTCTCACAATGTTTCTGTAAGTGTGATGGGTTTAATGTAATCTTTTATTTAAATCACTTACCACTGTAAAAACAGCAGCATTTAACCAGATAACCGTGTTCTTAAGGGAATAACATTTACAATGTGGTACATTTAAATTTTTTGTCCAAAGTGTGTGTTGATCCCGTTTGGCTGCACAGATGTCAGTGGAAACTCCTGACATCTGCAATCCGACCCTACTGTAAACGTTCACGTCTCTGAAATGAAATCAACTGTACATACATCTGTTTTTGTTAGAGAATCTTGGATTCAAACAGCGGAAAATAATCAATTCAAGAGGTGTACATATTAGACATCCCTCCAATTTTTTTCCCTGTTTCGGTATTTTGATTAAGCCAACTGGCTGATATTGCTAGCTAACTATAGCAATCCTCAGGTCTCTCATACACACTTTACAGTGAGGTCCTCTGATCATGTCGGAGGTAATGCCATGCCTACATTATGCAGACTAAAGTCAACTAAACATGTTCTCTGTGCGCTGACATAAACAAATAAGTGTTGTTTGTCATGCCTAAACAAATAAGCTAAGCTCACTACACTTTAAAAGTTACTAAGCTACCAGTTTACTCCTGCAGGATTTAATGTGAGCCAGTGAAGGACATCAAACATCAAAGTATATTAATGGTGTAAAACGCTTTCATGATAAACTTAGATTGAACTTCTGTTAAATGCCGAGTAGTTCATAAAGCGGCATCTTCTCTTTCTTTCTCATGATCTCACCCTCTGCAAGCCTCAGGCAAACCTCAAATGGCAGGAAGTCAAAGCAGGGAGAGGATACAGACACCATTGTTGGCAACTTGCATGTGCAAGTTATTGTGCTTCTTATTGTGGCCGCGTGCAGACACCCTAATTATCAATCAGTAGACTTGACAGCTTACAATTATGACAAATGGACCGCAAATCAAAGAGAAATATCCAGTTCTTCTGTATCAACTTCAGGCGGAAACTTGGTGGTTTAATATGTCATCCGAGTTTATTTGTAGGTCATATTTGTCTGTATTTGGACGGATTGAGTTAAAATGATGATATAATGAAATGATGATAAAGAAAAATTAAATTAAGATAAAAAAACTACTATTTTTTGCCAAGTTATTCATTTCTGGTGAGGCTGTGGAGCTGAGACTCTGACAGAATAAAGGAGAGCTTGTTATGAATCCCTGTCCCTTAATACTGGTACACTTCTTAATTTCAAAATGACCCAATGTGGATATTGAGTTTAACATTTTGTCTCTTCATTTTCAGAGCTCTCGGTTCTTTAAATTGTGTGACAACTTTTAAGGGGTCAAATCTTGTTCCATTTTTACACAGGGCACTCCAAAGGGCAGGCGTCAGCATGTGAGCAGGCTTCAGTAAACCAGGACCCACCCAGCTCTGCCTGTTCTTCACCGGCTCATCTCGCCTAAACCCCCTAAATCCACCAAAAGAACAAAGTATTCACGCGTCAGAGACAGAAAAAGGGCGGGTCATGCCCTCACAAAAATAGACCTGCAGCACGATGTTGAATGCGACAGACATCAGAGGATTTAGATGGACAGGTGCTCAATGATGACCCAAATATGAGTGAGTGTCCTCCGGATACCTGTACGTTTCCTGTATTAAACAACTGCTCAGTACTGATAGTCAGACCACACCTGTCTTAATAACAACTGCAGGTCATGCCAGGTTTTGCCTTTTACACACTATGTAAAATCCTCTAGTGTCTTCCAGCAACCCTGCAGTAACCAATAACATGCATCTTATCAATGTAATACAGTATAAAAACACACTAATGCATGCTTTCAAAGGGGATCTATTTCAGCCAAAGAGCCTGACCATTATTTATCTGTCCAGTTTGGGCATTTCCGAGCTTCATGCTAAGCTAAATTCCTGGTAGATATTTTGAATAAACTTTATAAAGAAAGCTGAAGCTTTTGGATCCGTCTCTTCAGTTAACTCACATGTTCTACATAATATGGAATGGACTAAATTGAGGAAATGTGAGAAGCTTTTGGAGTCTTTTTTTTTCCAATGAAACTGACAGTAAACACTGATTTAAACAAGACCTATAATTGTCTGCTGTAAAATCACTTGAGGCGGAGTTTTAGTGACTGGATACTACTTACTTGGCGTGACATAAAAGTGATGTGAAACGGGAAGAAGCCTGTCGCATTTTAACAACAGGAAGCAATTAAAAAACAACACAGCCTGTAAAGACGCCGGTGGAGAGGCCTGCTCGGTTAAACACTGATCTGGTCAAATGCTCTGATCCTTGTGCAGACGCTTTTTATGACCTGTGCTTCGGATTTTCATATCAAATTGCGATCATAGCTGTCGGGGCACTGCATTTCCAGCCAGGAGTGGACCTCTGTGTGCATCCAAATATGGGTGAGAGAAGCTCCTCAGAGAACACTGGAAATTGCAAATTAAGCCTCTCTATAAACGCTCTGCCCTCGCCCAACATTACACCATTATTTTGGAATTACGAAGATCTCGCTGGATTTTACTGGATTTCAGCGGCATGCATGAGCATAATAACCAACTTTCTTAGAGAAAAAAACATGAAAAGTCTACAGCCTATGAGCTAAGATGCCCCACCCTGAATAACAGAGTTATAACAGCAGTTCATAAAGGGGCCAGAGTCCAGTGCTGATAGCACCTGCCTCCACAATGAATCTCTTTGTTCACTTAGTCACTGTTTGCGTTCCCACTGAGTCCTTCTGTCCTGAACTGGAGTGTGTGTTCTTGTCTCTAGGTGACAGGAGTTACACAGACTTTGTGTTACACTGTTGAAAATATTCCAGGGCAAAGATTGGTCAACCGACTGGGTGTGTCTCTTTTTTTTTTTTTAAATCTCTTCGAGAAACCCTCGGGTCATTTGCTTTACGGGACCATACGAGTTACGCTTTTTTTCCTTCAGCTGGATTTGAGTGTACTCGATCAGTGACAGGCCTTTCCTCCTCGTCCACTCCGGAGCTTTTAACCATTGTTCACCCTTTTCCTGACAGCGGCCCCGTTACGTAAGGCAGATTTCCTCAACCCCTCATCCCCACCTCTCAAAATGTAACCCAGTTGCCGTGGAGACTGCGTAAACACGGCGATGTCATGGAAAAAGCGCGGCGGTTCTTGTGAGAGACCCGGAGAAGTGAAAACACAGTTCTTATCTTTACCAGCAGATTTATTTAGTTTTTCAGACAGATGCCAAACACACACACACACACACACACACACACACGCAACACACACGGAGAGCTTGACATTTTTCTTGGTTTAGCCATAGAGTTTAACACAGGTTTCGTTGTTAACATTTTTCAGTACAGTCTCGCTCATCTTGTGTAACAGCTTTTATTAGTTGGAGTGTGTGTCTGTGTGTGTGTGTGTTTTCGTCCTAGAACTGCTTGTCCTGCCAGTCAGACCTCCTAGCTGGAGCTGCGCACAGTGGTGGTTGTGACTGTGGTCTTGCCTCCTGTTAAAGAAAAGAAAAGTAAATCATGATGCCATAATTCAAACTTTCAAACTTTTTTTTTCCCACATAATTTGCGGCCATTTTAAAAAAAATCAAAACAGATCTCGCTCACCTGAACTCATTGGCCTAAAACAAAGGAGACAAAAGGAAAAAAAACACAAAGAAAAGAAGTCAGTAAAGAACACGAGCGATGCGTTTTAGGCATCAGTAGTTTGGTGGGCGTCTTCTTCTCCTGGACTCACCTGGACTCCTCTGTCTCCAGCAGGCTCCTGTAGGTGGCGATCTCCTGCTCCAGCCTGGTCTTGATGTCCAGCAGCATCTTGTACTCCTGGCCCTGCTGCTCGATGCTGGCGCGCACGTTGCCTAGCTCGTTCTCCAGCATGTTGATGGTGTTCTGGTATCCGGAGAGCATGGCGCTGTAGCGGGCCTCCGTCTCTCCCAGCGTGTTCTCCAGAGCCCCTTTCTGCCGGAGGATTAGAGTTAGAGGACCAGGCGGCCATGTTCAGGCGCGTTCATTGTTGACACACATTTGTTGTTGCTTCTACTTGAAAACCAGGTTATTGTGTTGAGTTTTTTCCACATCTAAAGCCCCTTTCTGTTCCCTCCAGCCACACCCAGGCTGTAATAAGGCCGACACAAAGGCAGGCCTGTTTGCTTTGCATTTTCCTCCCTTCATCAGGGCAGAAACGGCTGCTCCAGAGAGAGATTTGAATGTGTATCTTGTGTGCCCTGATGAGTGAGTGAGTGAGTCAGTTTGGCCGGGCACAGATAAACCACGGGAGTGCAACTTTTGGCCATCCAGTTCAGCATTCCTTCAGCTTTTTCTTCAAGCTCTTTTTATGACTTCCAGAATTTGAACAGATGTCTGTGAAATGTTTTACCGAGCTGGAGCCCCTCCCACCCTTTTTCTACTACTCCCATCCTTCTCCCTCCCTTCGTTCTTTCAGTGAAAACTCCCCCTCACTGCCTCCCCTCCTCTCTTTACCCTTTATCTGTTTCTTCTCCTTTTTTTTGTCCTACCAAGAAAAGAGATCTGGGGATTTTGCTCATATAAGGCAGCATCAATGAAATGTCAACAGATTGTTTGAGGTTTTGGGTTTTTTTAGGGGGTTTTACGCTTTTCTTTGTCCTTACCATGCTGAGCTGGGACTGCAGCTCGATCTCCAGGCCCTGGAGCGTGCGCCTCAGGTCGTTGATCTCTGTCTTCGTGGTCTGGATTGTTTCTGTGCTGACGGCCACCTCCTTGCTCAGAGCTGTCGACTACACGGAGAGAAAAAAAAAAGACAGAGCGAGACCTCCTGGTGATTTAGTTTCACAGAGGATTGGGCTTAATCACAGCTTAGACTGCTGGGGCGGTGAACCCGGTCATTTGCGGCCTGTGTGGGATGAGATTCCTTTTGTTTACAGGAAAAAAAAAAAAAGCTCTCCTTACCTGCTCGGTGAACCAGGCCTCCTGGTCCCGGCGGTGCTTGTCGGTGATGGCTTCGTACTGGGCGCGGATCTCGGTCATGATTTTGTTGAGGTCTTGCTGGGGTGCGGCATCCACCTCCACGTTGACTGTTCCAGTGAGCTGAGAGCGTAGGGCTGCCAGCTCCTGAACCAAGCAAATAAGGAACAGGAAGTCAGCCTCGTGTTGTTGTTTTTTTTTGCTCTACAGGTTTGAGGGATAAGGGCCTTTGCCGAGGTGTGGCTCACCTCTGCGTGGTTCTTCTTGAGGTAGGCCAGCTCATCCTGCAGGCCCTCGATCTGCATCTCCAGGTCGGCCTTGGTCAGCGTGGTCTGGTCCAGCAGGCGGCGGAGGTTGGCGATGTCCGCCTCCACCGACTGGCGCATCATCAGCTCGTGCTCGAATCTGATCGGTTCGGAGGGAAGAGAACACCGTTACGACCCGACCATCTCCTGTGTGGGTGGCTTATTCAGCCCCCGTGGGGATGAAGACGATTGTAGGTTGTGCCTACTTGGTTCTGAAGTCATCGGCAGCCAGTTTGGAGTTGTCGATCTGGAGCAGGATGTTGGCGTTTCCAATAGTGGCTCCATTGATCTGAAGAGAGCAAGATAGAGTCAGAAGAGAGTCAGTCTTAACATTTATTGGCAGTTAAAACGATTATCTGTAAAAGGCTTCGATTTGGATGTTTTGCTCAAAAAATATAACAGAGGACTCTGGATAAGACGCTACAGGTCGTGCATGTTTTAAAATTCTGTCTTTTGGTTTCAACCAAGTCACACATCACTGTTAACTGCCCATAAAAAGGGAGGATTCAGAGGTACCCGAAGTAACACAGGCTCTCGAAGCCGTTTAAAGAGCTGCCCTGACAATCATTGACAGCTCTTCAAATATTTGCATTGTCTACTGTTTAATCTGGAGCCCTGCGCTCGCTCTTACCTTATCCTTCAGGTCGTTGATGATGGCCCAGTAGTTGCTGTAGTCCCTCTCGGCGGCCGGCCCCTTCTGCTCGTAGTACTCCCTGATCTGCAGCTCCAGCTTGGCGTTGGCGGCCTCCAGGCTGCGCACCTTGTCCAGGTAGGAGGCCAGGCGGTCGTTCAGGTTCTGCATGGTGGCCTTCTCGTTCAGGTGCACGCTGCTCTGGTCCAGGGCGTTGGACAGGTCGAAGCCCATGCCGCCGCCGTACCCGCCGCCGTAGCCGCCCCCGTAGCCGCCGCCGTACCCGGAGGAGACCACGCGGGCGGAGGAGGAGGAGATGCGGGGCCCGCTCCGGAAGCTGAGGCCGGACACGCTGTGGGCCTTGTGGGGGGCGGCGCTGGAGGTGTAGCTGCGGCTCTGCCTGGTCATCTGCGCCGGCCCGCTGGAGATGCTCTGGCTGTAGAACATGACGGCTGCTCAGGGTTGGAGTCTCGAGAAAAAGAAAGAAGGAGGAGGAGGAGTAGGACCGTTACACAGCTGTGGACGGCGGCAGGACTGTGGAGTTTCGATGGAGGGAGGCAGGCTGCTGATATAGGGCAGGATCTGGGGCGGGCCTAAGCAGGGGGGGGGGGGGGGGGGGGAGGGAAGGGGGGGGTTTTCCTCAGCCACCCAGCCGTGGGCTTGGCAGAACCACCATTTGTTTTCCTTTAAAGACCAGGGTTGGTTGTGGAATGTGTGTGTTTGGAGGGTCTGGACCTCGGCGTTTGTGTGTGGACGTGTTTGTATCCCTCGGCCCGCATGAGATGAGAGCCGAGCGCTTTCATAAAAACCTGCAGGCACCGTCCCGATCACACCAGGCCTTTGGCATCCCCGTGCAAATAGAGGAGGTGATGATTTATTGTCCTTGAGTCCCACCGTTAGTCAATATGCACTTTGCGGAGGATATTTTGGTCGGTTAATTTGCTCCAAATCGTACCTTGAGACGAAGCTCAGCTCCATTACAATAAAACACCATAAAATCTCAGAGGGATTTTTAAAAAAATAAGAAAAACCAATGTTGATATTTGGATAGTTTGACCTGAATAGCTTTTCTTTTGTAGGAAATAAGGGGGGTAAGTGTAGACGGCCGTATTTCTTTACATGATAGGCTTATCTGGCGTGATTGCAGTCTGTCTGATAACACCAGCAGGAAATTTATGAACTTTTGACTGATCGCCTGCTGAAGGAAAGCTCCGCAGCCTTGATCCGAACCAGCATTGTGTTACATACGGACTGTCAAGGGAATTCTTCAGTTTGCCATTGTTCACCGTCTGACACACAGCTTCCCTCCTGCGCCTTCACGCTGCACCCTGTGTGTTTGTGCGTGTGTGTGTGTGTTTGTGCATATGTGTGTGTGTGCACGAGAAGGGCTCATATTGTTGCTTTTGGCCTGTGTCCTGAGCTGTGTGAGCACCGGGACACAGCTCCGACTGCGACTCCGTTTCTGTGTGTGTGTGTGTGTGTGTGTGTGTGTGTGTGTGTGTGTGTGTGCGTGTGTGTTTGTGTGTGTGTGTGTGTGTGTGTGTGTGTGTGTGTGTTTGTGTGCCGTCATTATCTCGGTTTTGGGCTGCGGCCAGTTTCTTTGCTGTCAGAGAAACATCTGGTGTCAGGCGGGGGAGTGTGTTTGACTGTGGGTCACCTCACATCCACGGGGGGGGAGGAGTGAATCACTCCTTCTTCTCCGTGACCACAGCTTAAACACTTACTTCAGATACTAAATCCACCTAAAGCAGAGATATTTGGGGGGGAAGAGTATCTGCAGGTTGACCTTAAATTTGGCTTTTACTTTTCCTTTAAATGTGATGAACTGCACCAACTGGCTGTGCTGAAACTCTCAGGTGTGCACTTCTATGCGGGTTCGATGAGGAAGTGAAAATAAATGTGTAACTGTAATGCTGGTGGGGTTTTCGGTGAATGTCACAAAACCGGCCCAAGCCAAAGAGTCACTGATGTCAGGCTTTTTTTAAATGCGCTCTTTAGATCTTTTGTTATTGTGAAGCTGAGGGTCACATCTCTAGCAGATGAGTGGCACAGGGATAAAACGGACTATACTGAAAATAACCTTGTACGTTTGTTTGGAAGCATAAATTTGACTGTATCTTCAAAGAGCAAAAAATACCTCCAGGGTCAATTTGCAGCTAAAGAGCTAAGAAGCCTCACGTCAGCCCTCTGTTTCATCTGTAGTACGTTTGTTTCGTATTGGAAAGAATTTTCCTCAGAATGAGTCAGTCCCACAGTTTAGATGAAGTCTCCCAGGAAAACTTGCCTTATTTAACATTTCAGTCAGCAGTTTAAGTCCACTTAGACTTTGTCTTATGATGAATTCCTCCCAATGATTTTCCACCGAGCATCATGTGGTGGAGGTGGGAATGCTAAACAGCTGGAATGTTTCTGTTTAATGACCACAGCATTTACATGGCTCTCGTCTCATCTGTAAAAAGCTGGAAACATAAAACATCTTCTTTTTTTTTTTGCAGCCAAATTCTGGAAGATTTTCCTTTGGTTGTGCATTTATCTGTTAGATTCATGTGCACACATCCTAATCTATTCTTTTAAATGGTCAGCAGATCCTGTTTAGAAGTTATTGCTCCAGCTTGTGTCATCAATCGAATCATACTTTTCAATAAAACAGTTAACTCGGAGGGGCCTTTTATGGTTTCAGGAGCTGAAACCATTTAAAAGTATTTTTAGTTTAAGACCTCATTGTTCAGCTCGAAAGCCCCAGGTTGCTCCTGACTTGATTGCAGAGGAGAAAAAGTTTATTTGTGCAGCCTTTAATCGCCCTTTGCATGTGTCATCCCCACTGGCCTGTTATAACTCATAATTTAAAAATGTCGAATCCCCTGAGATCATCACAAATAACATGGAAAACTCCCCAAAGGAGCTAAGAGGTAGGAGGAAAAAGGGTGGTGCTCTTTAGTCTGATGGTTAGGAGTGTGAGGTTGAAATGATCTTTGGACTCCAAACGAGAGTTTGTATTATTGGGAAACAAACACAGAACTCTCTCACAGCCTGAAGTCTCTTACTTGTAACTGTGAGTGAGTCAGTGGAGATCAGACAGGTAAGGATAGATTCAGAGGACTGGGTGGGGACGGATGACTGCCGTTAGCAGAGTGCTAAAGCAAAGCAGATGAGCTCACGTCTGCTTTTGCCGGTCAGTGTGGACGGGCGTTTTCGTGGGATGACTCAGAGAACTCGCACAGTTCTCCCCTATCTCGTCTCATCTGCATCACATATCAGTGCAAAGCCTTCTCTGTGTGAGTGTCGTTACGGTGAATCAGACGGGTAACGAGCGTGTCGGATCATGAGAGCTTCACACCCAGATTAAGGAGCTTTTGTCCTCCTCAGCAGGACAGACAGCCACGTCTATAATATTGAATATTTACTTAAAACAAACTGAGGAGACAAACAAACTCAGCAGCCACGGCCAGATAAATTCCACCGATATTTCAAAAGCTTTACCTTTACCTTAAAAACAAAAAATGAAGGTGTTTTTATGTGCTTATGGTGGAGACTTTTTTCTTTATAGTCACAAAGGAGGACCCAGAAGAAATGTTCTGCTGACCCTCCACTGTCTGAATGAAGATAAGGGACTGTAGTATGAGAGCATCCAGATAAAGCTGCAGATTGTACAGAGTTTACAACTTTTGCTCAATGAGATCTTTGTTATCTGAGTCTTTAATGCTGCAATTCAGCTTTGATGAAAGTGCGCCCAGCTGAAATTATCAGAGAACACAATGTGCATCAAAGGAAACTTTCAAAATCTGATGAAGCCTTTTTGGGATTGTAAACATAAGTTAAATCAGGTGTGATCAATGATTGATTGACCGTCTCTAACAACGACAACTCAACCCTCCTCTTTCTGTTCGGGTCTGAATTTCCTCTCCTTAACCATATGTGATATAACTACGGCTTCTATTCAGTGGGAAAACAAAGAGAGGAGGAGAAGGCAATGGCACGAGAGGAAGCGGCTGTCCTGTTTATTCAATTAATATTTGTTTTAATATCAGACACGCCGGCCGAGCTGAGCGAGCTTTGTGTGCAGTTAAAGATACTGAAATAGCCAAAAATGAAAAATTCTATGCAAAATGTCGACGTTTTGGTTGATTGAAACTGCTAAATTGAGAGTTAATCATTAAAAAGTCTACAAATCATATCAGCAAATCGCCATTTCTCACTTCCAAAGAAACAGGCAACTTTTTTTTATAGTTTTGAAAGATAACGTTTATTATATTTTCGTTCACGACGAATGCCGAGCCCTTGCATTGGGTGTAAACAGTCACTATGGACACATCAAAATAACCCACTGTTTGTTTGCCGCGTAGCAACCGTAGAGCATGTGTCACCGCCCGGGCCTGAATCGGATCTATTGTCTGGAGTTGACGGTCCGGATTCCTGCACCTGAGCAGCCTCTCAGAGGCTCACCGTGTAGTGGGTAACAAGGATGTCTATCACAATGTTTTTTTTCCACTCAGAAACTTGGCAAAATCATGACCAGAGCTATCAGACAGGCCCATCAATGCGCCTTTGTTTTAAAGCTTTGAAGGATGTCAGCAAAGTGCATCTGTTGGTTTCTGATTTGGAGCAGTTTCATCTTGAACTCTTTTATATTAAATCTTTTTTATTCATAAAGATCTCTGAGAAGTTTTAACTGTGTCTACCTCGTCTTCACTCATTTTGAGTTTGATATTTAGACTCTTTTATATCTGTTTGGGTTTTTCTCAGGTTTTTGGTTTCCGGTTGGTGTTTAATCTTGTTTGTTCAGTTCATTTTTTTGGTTTTCCAGTTCAGCTGCACCTTTTGTTATTGTTAAATAAACTTAAGTTAAATGATTTCCTGTCGTCTGCCGTTTACACGCCTGCAGCTTTTCACCCACTTTTCTGACAGTTCACTCACCGCCGTTTCACAGTTTATACAATCTGCAAAGATTGTATCCAAATATTCATCATGTTTTTGGTACCAAAATGATTCTTTCTGGTTTTGCTATAGCTGCAAAGTTGAAGTCACACATCCATTGGTTTGGGTGCCATATTGATCACTCTGCTGTTGGGTACTAATTTGCGTTCAAACCAACATGAACGTAGCATGTAGCTGCTGAATACTCCGAATTAGCATGTTATTTCCATATCTTTTTGGAACAATTCAAATTTCTGGAAACTGGAATTGAATTCTATCAAAAATCTGATTTCTTTGTTGACTTTTTCCTACAATTTTCCCTTTGTTTCACAGATAGTTGGGGTCATACTTCATGGTAAAAGTGTGAATTTTGAATAAATAAATGTCATTACTTGTGCTTAATTCAGGCATCACAGAAATAAACTTAATTTTAGAGCTAGATAAGGGAAGTGCACTGGTCCTAATGGTTTAGCAGGATGTTAATGGGTTCATGCAACAGCTTCCACAGTCGCTGCACATGTCAACCTTGCCTCCACCTACGGGTCACTTCAGCCGTGCTTCACTCTTGACTCTATAAAGCTGGAGTTCGGGGCTCATGTTTAAGGGTCTAAAAATAATTGGACATAGGGATTTGCTGCCCTTTCCCAGCTTGTTGCCACAGAGGAGCAGCTTGCTTTAGAAGGAGACGAAGGAAAAACTGCTCTGAGTTTGTGCTGCGTTGCACCACATTCTGTAAAAACTGACACAGCAGTTAACCCGGCCTGACCTCTCCTCCCACCCCCCCCCCCGCCCCCTCCCCACCCCTCCTGCATTTTCACCGGGCGCGCAAAAAGACGAGTCTGTCTCGGAGTATTCTGTCAATCAGTTTTAAAGTTTTATGACTTTTAGTGGCGCTCCATACCCACCCCGGGTGAAAGGTTTACCGGTCTGTTGCGTGTCTCTGTGCCCCTGGACAGATATACGAGCGCACAAACAGAGCAGAGGGCCCGCTCTGTGCGGAGGAACTATGACTCAAAGCTGTGGAGCAACACGGTCCTGGGAGCCTCCTGTAAATACGCCACACCCCTCGGCAGACATTATCACATCCTGCTCAACTATTCTCTGCGTGCTGTGCTGTAGTGTAACCTCCCTGCGAGCAGCATCTCAAACCAATGTTCTGGATCGAATCACGGGGCGAACTCGAACTCAAACGAGCACCAATTACGCCCAAGTTGTGGGATAATGATCCTGATCTCATCCGCTGCTCCCCCGTAGAGCCGGTTTTCTACCCCCAAAGTTAAACACTCTCCCTCGGAGAATTACCAGCTGTGCATTTTCACTGGTTTCTCTCCATTCCTACGCTGCAGCGTGAAGCTGTGGACCCATCGCCATCTGTCTGATGGGGCATCAGATCAATAACAGGGCGGGTTTTCTCTTTACGGGCCTCGTTTCTGCCGGAATTAGCATTAAATCACAGCTTGATAGGAATATTCAATTATCTCACTTACAGAAATATGGTTTTTAATGATGCAGACGACAAGAAAAGCTCAAAGTTTCGAGAAAAGAGACTTTGCAGATGCTTGATAAGGGCGTGTAAAAATGTAAAAAAAGACCGTCACAGGGCCACACCTTTCTTTTAAAGAGATTCACAGCTGAAGTGCTCCATCTAGGGGGGGGTTTATATAGTCACTGCACAGCTGCCAGTTGTGTAGATCAGCGCGTTTTCATGTTACATCCATGTTACGTTAACTGGCTGCCGGCAGGAATGGGTGGCAGAGGGTGGTTTTTTTATTCGGTGGCCCCCGTTACGGTGTGAGGTGGTCCAGGGCGTGTCCCGCCTCTCGGCCACTGGCAGCTGGTCAGTGGGGGCCAGCTCTCTGAGAATCTGTGGTATAGAGGATAGATGAATCATCATGCCACGCCCAAGACCATGTTTAAGTTGACAGGAGCAAACTCTGCTGGTGAGACAGCAAAAGTTTTTTATGTTTTACCTCCACTGAGCTCATTAGAACAAAGGAAAAGTGTTTTTTATGTAGATTCATTTCTGCAAATGTTTAAACGAAGAGATTAAAACATCATCCGCAGCATTTTATAATGAGTCAGATTCAATGTAAGTCAGAGGATCACCAATAGCTTTTAGTTTTCTTATAACGCAGACTACCAGGTCTTTGAAGATCGTTTAGAGAGGGAAAAGTGGCTAAAACCTTTAAAAGACTTTGACTCCTTAATCCTGATTAGCAACCAGGCCCTGAGATCCGGAAGAATTCCAGAAATGTTTGGCACTTCAAAAATAGAAAAGGAAAGTCCCACGAAGCTGTGAGAAGACTGGAGTGTTTCAGGAGGCCATTCTGCAGCTCTCCTTTAATTAACCTCACGGTTAAGGGGAATGGGGCAGGTGGAGCTGAGCTCTAAGAGAGAGAAGACTTATTAAAACAGGCTGGAAAAGACAAATGCTTGAAATTGTAGTGCGCACTGAGCGAGTGTGTGATAAAGGCCAGATGGGAAGCATTAACGTGCATCAACCTGAGGAGCCACAAGCTCCAGAATGGACCCGTTTTAAAATTCCTGTCTTTTAAAAATCAGCTTCTAACTGTCAAAGCAACAAACGCTGTGAGCTGTAAGCACAGAAGAAAAACAGACACACATTTTTGCGATTCCCGCCCCCCTGAGACTCCAACATATAATTAAGCTGCCAGCATTGTGCACGTACGTGCACAGAGCTGTGGTGCAGGGCGCCAGGCGGAGGTAAAAGTTGACCGTGATTAGATCTAAACTCACTGAACGGGAGGGAGAAAAAAGGAGACTTTCTGTTTCTCGTTCCGGTTGGCAGGTGAGTTGTGTCTGATCACATTACAGCTGCAGGATAAAGGGGGCGTGGAGGAGGTGGAGTACCAATGCTCCACTCAGATTGGGCCAAACTCAAGGCTTTTTTTCCATTTTCATTCAGGAGGGGGGGGGGATACATTTAGTGAACATGGATGAACTGTTTTGACAATATTAGCAAAGTTTTACATTTCAAATATATTACTTACTACCAGGTGAGGTAGGAAGGAGCTATCTGAAAAACACAACTCCCCATATGAAGTTAAAACCCACCGGCCATGTAAAACCAAACATGTATAATCACTATAGAAACCATCTGACATCAAACCCTCTTTTAGTATCATTTGGGTTTTGACAAAGACACTAAGTCAGTTCATGTTAGAGTCCACATAACAAACTGCCCTGTTGAGATGGGTTATTCATTTAATCAAGTGAACACAATTTATTTTAGGTTTATTGAGGAGTCATTACTCATGTGTTTGGCTAATATGCTGCTGGTACATAAAAAAAATAAATATATATATATGTAAAATCCTATACTTGAGGGATATTGACATGGTTATGGCTTTATGCCTCAGAATAGAGACAAAACAAAGCGTTATTTCTTCATTACTGTATGAATATTTGTGGTTTCACAACAGGTTCATTCAATATAACAATACTATGACAACACAAGGATTAATCACTGTCTCCAGTAAGGGTGTCATTAAAAGAATTATACTTTCTGATAACAGTTAGTGGAACACAATGTGACAACAAAGTCTGAACTTTCATGTTTAATTTTAACAACAAATGCCAGTTTGAATTAAATGATCTGTAATGCTGTTTCCCCAAAAGTGTTGACTAAGAGTAAAATCTAAATAACTGACTGCAATGACTTCAAAATCTCATAAACCATTTTTTTCATTCCTAAACATGCCACTAATATATCTATCTATCTATATATATCTATATATATCTATATCCATATCTATATATAAACTTTTATCATATTCATTGTTTACTTTTAGATTTATTTTACTCCCTATAATACAAATCATGACATATAATTAAATAAAAAGTCAGAGAATATACGTTTTTCTTGAAGGAATGTTTGTTAGGGCGTGCTACTACAGCCGACATACCTCTGTATGCAGACATCTCTGAGCTTTGGTGAGACATAGGGGAGGCAGGCGGACAGCATTTTCTCTCTTTCATAGAACAAAAGATCTTGTCAGCCCACCTACTGAGAAACAGAGTTTCTACAAAGCTGAAGGTGAAATGGCTCTGGCCATGCCTCCGGCCTATCATGATTATCCGGTTGCAGCATCATGGCGGGTCTGATGGGCCCACACCATTTGTGGAGAGAAAAACTCATTCAGGTCCAAAATTCATACAATGAACACCAAGTTGGCCGCAAGTATGACACCAGATTTAGCCTTAGGCGATTCTAATCTCCCAGAAAGAGAAAAACACATGTCAAAACGCATGTCATTTAGACAAGCCAGAGCAGGGAAGCAAATAATATTCAAATGTTCTCCGTTTGAGAAAAACAAAAGCTTAAGTTAATGTGATTTGATTTTTTTGTCAAAACAGTTTAACGTCAAAGCTGAAAATATTCAAAAAATGGGTTAACCACGTCAAAAGGTGTTTAGAAACTGTTTGATTAATGGAAAGAAATGTGCCTTCTCCCTGTTGAGTGATTAGCATTCCTCCGGTGTGTGTCAGCCATTAATCTCACCTGTTCAGGGAACACCCTGCTCACTGCTGAATGAAGACCCAAAGGGGAGATCAAGAGATTAACCATCAGATAGACATCTGAACTATGTCGCTGAAAGGACTAAAGACAGAACAAGATCTTGATCATTTTCTGGCGCCATGGGAATGTGCTGCTAACAGGAAGCAGTTAATGATCAAAAACCAGTTAAACTGTTTAAAACTTTTCTCCATTAGTAATTAGAGTTGTAAAAAAGGGAATCCAACAAGGTTTACAATGGCATTAGACACAACAAAAAAGAAATATGCTGTAAAAAGTGCATGATCAACTGATAAGACTTGAACATAAGGTATAGACCTAAAAAAGCAGCTTTAAGCTGTGAGTGCTGTCAGACAAAACAAGTCCACCTATCGTCTATAAAGTTTTTCTTTATAGCTGCTCTTGCCCGATTCTTTAGTTGGAAACCTGAGAATAAACCAGAGTAGATCAAGTGTAGAAATTGACATTTATTAGGTCACAGTTAAGTATATAAGCTGGGCTCTAACAGACAAAAACCTCTCTCTGGGTCTCAGTGGGCAAATAGACCTGAGATCTGGGTGTGATGGGCATTATCTCCTGGACTGGACCCCCCTCAAAAGAACTGGAGAATACTGAGTGCTTATTGACCAGTTATTTACTAACCCTAACCCTGACATGAACAGGCCAGGTCCTAATTAATGCAGATAACCTTGTAATGTGGTAACTAAGTTTGTGTCTGTGTTGACCTAATGACGTGTGTGTAATGTAACAGAGAGAAAAAGAGAATTTGTAGTTACAGCCAGAGAATTTTACACAAAAGTATAGTTCTAAAAGTCATAAGACAATCTATAACATAACATCAGCGAGCTCAAAACCCAGTTGATGTTCAGCAGCTACAGCCTGATCACTGGTTGTCCACTCTGGACATTAATGAGCAAAAAGAGTCAAATCCGTATCTTTATCCTAAATGTTTCTGGTTTGAATATGGTCGTTATCAGATTTTGCTGGCGGCCAACGAGACAAACCCCCCCGGCCCCCCACCAGCCTCTGGGTCAACATTTCAGCGAGGTGTAATTGTCACTGCTACATGTCATTTTTGTCACTGCTGTGAGCAGTTTGGATGTGTGAGTGTTAAAAGAAAGGGGCGCGCGAGACGGCAGTAAATCTAAATAACATGTTTGTGTCTTCAAAGGTTTTTTCAAGCAGGAAGGACGCCACTGGCGGGTTTAACTGAACAACAAGAAAATGTGGACTCACAAGTTTGACCTGAAGACAGGTGGCGAAACCCCCTCCCCTCCGGCCACCACACCTGTAGTGATGGAGAGATAGCGTAGAGGAGTGGGTGGGTAGTATGTTAGCCGCATTCCTTCCTTTCACCTAATACTCCAGGCCCCTCCCACTTTTCGGAGGGTGCAGCTATATAACCGAGGAGGCCAAACTGATGCTTTCAACTGCAGATCGACTCCAGACTCCAATTGGCTCAGATCCACAAACTCCAGCATGTCCTTCAGCAGCAGATCCTACAGCCCCAGGACCATGAGCGTCTACGGGGGGGCCGGGGGCCGCGGAACCCGCATCTCCGCCTCCCAGGTGGGTTCCCAGGCGGGCTTCAACCTGGCCGACGGGCTGGACCTCCACGTCGGCGCCAACGAGAAGGCCACCATGCAGAACCTGAACGACCGCCTGGCCTCCTACCTGGAGAAGGTGCGCAGCCTGGAGAAGGAGAACGACCGGCTGGAGAAGCAGATCCGGGAGTGGTACCAGAGCAAGACCGTGGTCGCCCACGACTACAGCGCCTACTTTGCCACCATCGAGGACCTGAAGGAAAAGGTAGGAGAACAACCAGGAGCTCCATCCAGTCACGCTCCTCCTGTCATTGGCCAGATTGTAGCATGACTTGAGGAAGGCTAAAAAAAATGTGACGAATGTGACAGCGCCACATTTCGTGAGCCAGAAAGCGAAACGGTCCACAGTTATGAGTTCATGTGAGATTCCTTCCAGTTGTGCGTCACTTCCTGCCTGTAGTGTGCAGCATCACTCAGACAGGTGGACGAGAATCCAGTCAGCCCAAACTACTCAATACCTCTTGTCATGCAATGATCCTTAACGAAAGCATGTTTTCAGTCTCAAACACTGGCCTCCATGCCAGCTGAAAGTTTTATAAATTGATTCAATCAAGTTTATTTGTATAGCCCTTTACAATAGCCTAAAGGTACCCAAAGTGCTTTACAACAGAACCATAAAACAATATAAAACACATACAAAACATACAGATACAATTAAAAGTGCTGTAGTGGTGCAGCGCTGCAGGACACTAAAAGCCTTCCAGAAATGCATAGAAAGGAGCAGACAGAAGGAGGACACCTAAGAGACAGTATTTCCCTAGTCAGAATTAAATGCTAATTTAAAAAAGTGGGTCTTAAGCTTCGTTTTAAAAAGGCTGAGGCCAATTTCAGGTTAAATCGCTTGTTTAATTGTTTTTTTTTCTCTCCCAGATCCGAGCTGCTTCCAGGGTGAATGCCAAGATAATGCTGGACATGGACAACGCCAGACTGGCTGCTGAGGATTTCAAAACAAAGTGAGTGTGCTATGTGTGTGTGTGCGGCCACTGGAGTGATACCTTACGTTTGCATCGGAGCGGGAATTCATGGAGCTTCTGCTCTCAGCAAAGCACCGAAACCTCTCTGACCAGTCCCCGTGTCCCACTTTATGAAACCCTCCCAGGTATGAGAACGAGCTGGCCATGAGGACGGCCGTGGAGAGCGACACCGTGTCGCTGAAGAGGGCCATGGACGACATGAACCTGGGCAAGATGGATCTGGAGAGCCAGTACGAGTCCCTGAAGGACGAGCTCATCATGCTGAGGAGGAACCACGAAGAGGTGAGAGGGAAGCTGAAACTGGGCGAATGCAGAGGGCCCAACCCGTTTTAAAGCCCTGGACGGCGGTTTGCTCATGTCAACATATATCATGTTCCTACAACACGGGTTTGACGGCTACAAGGTGTAGGCACAAAGTTCAACATCATCCATCTTCCCAGCCTCTATTTTTGTGGAATTAAGTCGTCACCATTTGTTTTCACCCTCTATTGTTGCCTTATATGATCAGAGTTCACACGCTTGACCTCTTTCCCACCCCTGATAAAGCCGAGGAAGCGCCATGTCAGGTTTCTGTTTTTTTAAACGGCTCGGCCGACTTCTGCTTTTCCCTTTTTCCCAGTCCTTGTTTTCTCCAAACACTTCCATGTATTCTTCTCCTCCTCCATTAGCTCATAGTTTTTCCAGTCTAATTCCTCACACACACAGATCAAAGATCCAAAACCATACACACATCACCATAGTAACACCTCACGTCTTAATGACACGAAAAATAATACGTTACAGGTGTTTGCTCCAGTGGGCTGATTTGTTTTGTGAATTCCCCGACAGGAAATAGCCGTGCTGAGGAGCCGGGTGGGCGGCCAGGTCAACGTGGCCGTGGACGCGGGGCCCTCCCAAGACCTGAACCAGACCATGACGGAGATCAGGGAACACTATGAGGCCGGCATCGCCAAAAACCGCAAGGAGCTGGAGTCGTGGTATCAGGGCAAGGTGAGAAAAGAGGACGGAGCCGCGCCCGTTTGTTTGAGAGTTGAGCTGAAATGTAACAGGTGTGATGTGTTTCTGCTCAGATCACAGCCGTGGAGCAGGAGGTGATGACACAAACAGAGACTCTGGTGACGTCCCGCACCGAGGTCAAGCAGCTGAGGGAAACCCTCCAGAGGCTGGAAATTGAGCGACAGTCCCATTTGAGCATGGTATGTTTGCCTTTACCAGAAAGACATCGATACCCATTGGAATTGGAAAACATAAACCCATTTTCCCAGGTCTGAAAATGTCAACAGTGGTGCAGTTTAGGGCTAGTTGTAGCAAACAGTTTACGGTATTTGTACTATCATGTCCGTCCACCAAAAATAGTTTCCTGGCACTTTGTGCAAAAAACAAATGCAGTGGTGGACAAACCACAATATGCTGCCATGACTTATGTACAGAGGTATCTTCAGTTTTTACTCAATGTTCTCACCATTGTACAAATCCGACTTTGCATCCAGTTTCTTGATGGCAAATGTTGTGTCGTAATATTCAGGAAACTGCAGTTGTTTTAGTCTCACCTGACCGACATTTAAATGGATGTGAAGCCAGATAGTTGTGAGCTCCTAACAAATATCACTTTCCTCTTTGACAACAGAAAGAGTCTCTGGAGGGGAACTTGGCAGAGACTCAGGCTCGCTATGGAGCACAGCTCTCAAGCCTCCAGAGCATGGTCAGCAGCCTGGAGGATCAGCTGTCCCAGATCCACGGCAACATCACCACCACCAAGCAGGAGTACGACATTCTGCTGGACCTCAAGACCCGTCTGGAGATGGAGATTGCAGAGTACAGGAGGCTGCTGGATGGCGAAGATGAGAGGTGAGACCCGATGAAGACAAAGAAACAATCACGAGTGATAAAGGGACGAAAAATAGTGGTGAAAACTAATTATTTTTTTCTATTTTCTTCCCCCTGTTTAGCTCAAAACAAGGTAAGCAGGGATTCCTGTGAACTAAGTCATGAGCATGATATCATTTCCTCGAGTTATATCATGAAATTTGATAAAATATGTCTGTTCTTGCCTTTTCTTTAGTGGTCACAAAGGTCATCACAGTGGTGGAGACGGTTGTGGATGGAAAGGTGGTGGGCAGCAGCAGAACCGTTGACGTGGATGTGGATGAAATTCAGTGAAAAAGTTCGGTGTCTTCAAAAATCAATAAAGATCATGCAGTTGAGCTGAAGTTTCATGCGTTTCTTTTGTGTTGATATTCGTCCCTCTTTCAATCAGTTCAATCAGATGGATGGATATATCAACTCAGGATATAGCTTCTAATCTGATAAAAATATCAACAAATCAGCCAATGAAACTATGATATTTGTCACAGGAGTTCGTATAAAGAGCAGGTTCACATGGACACGACAACCCATTCATTTAACCTGTTCAATAGAAAATAAGTCATATTTCTTCATAAAGGTGTCTTAGAACAACTGGTAATTACCAACTACGTTTGATGGGTATAAAGCTAATTTTTTGCCAAAAGTGCCCGTGTTTGGACAAAAAAACAGATGGAGTTAGCACCAATAGCTTGGTTAATTCATTTACATACTTTCTTTGGATTTCAAAGCTTTCTAATTTATCCTGCCTTGTTAATATCTATTATTTTACCTATGAGGCCAGCTATGCTGACAAACATACATTAGAATAAAATGACAAAAATTCTGCGGTGATTTTCACAAAGTCATTTAAACCTGGTTAGCGAATGTAGCTACACATGCTAATGTGTCGTGACCATTTTAATGGTAAATTATGGAGCCATAAACTTTATATAAAAGATGGACAAACTGCGATGTGACATAATGTGACTTGCTGTCATGTTAACCATTTGTTATCAAACATTTTTTAAATGTTGCATCAGGATTTAATCTTCCTGTTTCGCCCTTTTTGGAGCTAGAAGTGAGCAGGGCTGCTAACTATCAGGCGCTGAGTGGGACAAACTTTTACCCTCTTTTCTCACACTATCCCAGAACACATGAACTTACTCATGCAGTGACTAACTGATGACTGCTCACTGGAGGCATGTTCGGTTACCTGAGCGTGTACAGGCAGCACAAACAAGGTATTTCAACATCAGGAAGAAAGTGAAAAGGGGCGTCTGTAAAATTGTGTTTGACTATTCTGAATTAGGGACGATTTGCATCATCGAACTATGTGGCCATGTGTTGACAAGATGGGCAATAAATCACTTCTAACTCCAAAAGAATATGGAACAAATCAAGTGGGAATATATATTAGGGTGTTAGCAGTCGTCAGGAAGCCAGACCTACTCAAAAACATGATCATGGCTAATTTTGAAGGCTCCTCTAGCCCACTTAAAACTCCTTGTTAGTATAATTATGAGTATCCCACCGTAGACATGTCTACTTTATAAGTCGCTTTGGATAGTAGTGTCTGTTAAGTGCATAAACACAAAAACTGAGGTAGGCTCCAGCCCCCGAGAGAGAGTCCTGTTGTACAAGGATAGCATGGAAACTCCCCCAAAAAAAGGACCCCTGCTGGGATTTGAACCAGGAGTCACGTTGCTGTGAGACAATAATGCTAAGTACCTCAACACCGGGCAGCCGTTATTCACTTAATAATTCTGATATTTACTTCAAATGACACCTCCTCAGCTAACTCTCTCTTTGCCCCGTCCAACCAATAAGGCTTCTGCTTGATGTGCGGTTGTTAGCTCTAGTTAGCAATTTGCATCCTGCGTCGCCCCCAGCCTCAAAAGCTGCCCTGACTTGCATTACCGTTACAACTTGCTGGAACCAGTTGTATATCCCAGAATGGCCAGAGGCAAAGTCGTGCTCTATCCTTAAAGTAGACAGAGAATTAGGGTCGGAACAAAGTCCACATTTGGTTCTGCATGGTATTCCAACATGCTTCACGTTACAGCAAGAAAACAAAAGAAGTTACATGTGTAAACGTGTCCTGAGAGCCAGATGTGAGTGACCTGAGCATAAAACCTGAAACCAACATGACTGTGTCACTGCAAAACAGATGTAGTCCACGTCTGCCACCTCATGGTGCCGTCGCCTCCGTTCCGAGTTTGTGTTGGAGCACGTTGTGTCGCATTGTGTTTTTTCTGCTGTGTTCAGCTTTAGTTTGACTGCTTTAGTGTGTGTTACTGTGGTGATGTAATGTTAAGTCTTTTTTTTACTTGAGTTTTTTTTTCTTTAACCATGTCCTATTCAGGTTTGCGGCAGCAGAACTGAAATTTGAGTACCGTGCTCTGCTGAACACATTTGCTTTGCCAAGAGAGGCTTTATTGGTTAAAATCCCCTTTTTATTAACAAAAGCTGCTTTATTTAATTCATTTTGTTGAAAACTTTACTGTTATCCAATAATGCCGGACCTGACAGAGGGACAGGGAAGAAAGAGGAGCAAAGGAAAGCAAACCCCAAAAGGAGAAAGATCCTTTAGGAAGAGAGAGAATGAATAAAAAGAAGACAACACAACCTGCTGCTATGTCTAAAGAAACTGTTTCTTGTGGGCAATCTGGACGGAGAACCTGTGTGTGCAGAGAGGCCAACGGCCACAGCCCACCCCTCAGGGACCCTGAGTGGAGCAAATATTAAAAGAACCTATAGCGGGTGAGGCAACACTGTGTTGCCTGTATTTCACAGCCTCAGGTAACAAAACCTGTTCTGCTTGTCGGCGTTAACATTAGAAAACACTACCTCATCCCTGAGCTATTATGCCTTCATACAGGTAAGGGTTCAGACCCACAGCTGCTAAGATGTCTCAGAATTTACCTCGCATATGCAAAGTGACTCTTAACTGATACTAATGTCGATTTTTCATAAAAGCTTATTGAGAAATATCCACACAAATAGGACACAATTGAAGTTGGCAACTCAGAGGCTTTTATTTCTTTCCCATTCAGGTTTGACAGAAGTAGCTTTTCAGGTGGTGTCTTTGGACCTCAAGCTGTTGCTTCCCGTTTTCTGGTAGACAGGTTATGAGGAGGTGGTGGAGGACACCACCTTGCCGTCGTGGATCTCCTCGGTGACAACTATGACCTTTCTGGTTGTGGTGGACTCGACTGTGCTGCCGACACTGTGGGGACAAGCAGATACAAAGCGCCCGTTAGCATCACGGCAAGCCAGCAGAACTCAGGGTGGCTGTGGAAACGAAGGAAAGAGCTGTTCTTTCCCTTCTGCCTTTCCCTTACCTGCCCTCCCCATCCAGCAGCCTCCTGTATTCTGCAATCTCCATCTCCAGCCTGGTCTTGATGTCGAGCAGCATCTTGTACTCCTGGCCCTGTCGCTCCATGTCGGCCCGCAGCTGCACCAGCTGCTCCTCGTAATTCGTGACGGTCATCTGGAGCCCCTGGAGCTTCATGGAGTACCGGGACTCTGTTTCGCCCAGAGTGCCTTCCAGAGCCGATTTCTGAGGAGAACAGGGAAGAGGGCAAAGGGAATGAGCAAACTGAACAGGAGGTGGAGAACCATGCGTCGGGCAGAGGAGTAAGGGCAGAACGTACCATGCTGAGTTGCGACTGTAGCTCGATCTCCAGGCCTTGCAGTGAGCGGCGGAGCTCAGAGACTTCTGTTTTGGTTGATTGGAGCATTTCTGTGCTCTGTGTGACTTCTTTGGTGATAGTTTCTGCCTACAGTAGCAATGGCAGAATGTTAAACTCATGAATCAGAACACACTCGTTCCCAAATCTTTGCGACCGAGGTTGAATTTCTGGCTCCGGGAAAGCCAGACTCACCTTTGAATCAAACCATGACTGAAGCTCTCTCTGGTTCTTCACGGCAACGGACTCATACTGCTCGCGGATCTCGGCCATGATGCCGTTCAGGTCCACCTGTGGTTTGGCATCAACCTCCACGTTGATCTGGCCAGTCATCTGGGACCTCATTGAAACCATTTCCTGTTGAGACAAAAGGTCGTTTTTTTATAGCTTTTCTTTAGTTGTCCAAGGTGTTTTTATGCTTGATTTGAGCTAATCGCGGCGATCATGTCGGGCACCAACCTCCTCGTGGTTCTTCTTCAGGAAGATCAGCTCCTCCCTGAGGCCTTCGATCTGCATCTCCAGGTCTGACCTGGCCAGCGTCAGCTGATCCAGCAACCTCTTCAGGTCGGCGATGTCTGCTTCCACTGACGTGCGCATGCCGAGCTCGTTCTCGTATCTGCGTGGTCGCACATGCGTTTAATTACATCATCTCCCATTTACTATCAGTACATTTTAAACCCACACTGTGGCTTTTTCCTGACACTCACTTGGTTCTGAAGTCATCTGCTGCCAGCTTTGCGTTCTCCTGCGCCAGAAAGATGCCTCCATTGATACCAACAGCAGCCCTGATCTGTTTGATTTGGAAAAAAACTGGTTAATAGGTTCATCGTCACCAACTAAAAAGCAGATGCCATTAACAATAAAAGGTTGGTATTTATCAGCCATGAGAAGACACAGAATGACATGCTTTGGTGTATCAGAAGCCGTGTAACATACCTTATCCTGCAGGTCAGAAATGGTGACCTCAAAAGCAGAGTAGCTGCGGGAGGTGGGGGCAGTCTTGCTCTCCAGAAACTGCTTGATCTTCAGCTCCAGCTCCGCATTGGCCTTCTCCAGGCTGCGCACCTTGTCCAGGTAGGTGGCCAGCCGGTCGTTCAGGTTCTGCATGGTGGCCTTCTCGTTCGCCCCGACGTGGAGGTCGGCTCCACCGTCTCCGCCAAAGCCACCACCGTAGCCTGAACCCCCTCCCATTCCAAAGCCGTAGCCCCCGGCTCCGCCACCGGCTCCATAACCACCACCGGTGGAGACGGAGATCCTTGACCCGCTTCCTCCAGCGCCGCCATACACACTTGAGGCGTAGGACCTCTGCACGCCGCCTCCGCCCAGGCTTCTGCCGCCAAAGGAGGAGCCGGAGGAGAAGCCGCCGGACCTGAAGCTGGTTCTGGAGAAGGAGCTCATCGTTGAAGCTGCTCAGGAGGTCTGCCTGTCTTAGGAAAGAAGGAGGGAGCTGAGATGCGAGTTGCCGTTAGTGCCGCTGCCTTTTTATCCTGTGCTCCTCCGTGTGCCTGCAGAGAGGGTGGAGCCATCGGAGCAGGATTGGGGATGGGCTTGACCAAAAATGTCCACCTCTCACACACAGCCTCAAGCTTCTTCTTTGTTATACCTTCAAACCAAGAGACTCAAGTCTTTCAACGCTTTTTTTAAGTAAATAGAACCCTGAAATCCCCAAAGTTTCTTCACTTAATCTCTCTATTAAAGTGGAAGACATTTCTGTTCTCCTAACTCTGTGAGCAAAGATGAGGATTCTTTGTGAAAGGCCTTCTTCTGTGTCTGTAAACTGCTCAGAAAACTGGGCGAACAGCTCCACCCGTCACATTCAGATCCACCAGGTACATACTGATGTTTGCACGTCAGGTTTTCTGTCAGAGCATGGAAAATCACAAAGGGCACTCACACCCAGGTCACTCATTGTTTGACAGATGCATCAGAACGGGGGCCGACAGACCTGGACCCGGCCTCTGCCCCACAGCAATAACCACGCCCGTGCACGGAGGGCGCCGTGCACCAGTCGCTAACGTTTCTACGTGTTTGAGAGTTTGTCTTTTGTCTTGTTTGTATTGTTTTTGCATGAATCGTAACCCTAAATGGGGAAGCAATGCACAATGAAGATGTGCTGTTAAAAATGGAGCATCTATATTGGATCTATACCCTCTTTTGTACTTTTGTAAAACAGCTATGCCGTGTGCCCAACCCTGTTTTCTCACACTCTGCAGAAATGCATCAGTATCGGCTGTTGTTCACCTGGACCTCATCCAACACACACACAGTCACACCCCTCTGTTTTTTCCCTCAATGCAAATCACTTTATACTGATATGATAGAGTTATACTATTGCACAAATCCAGAACCAGCTCTCCTGTTGTGTAACAGCTTGCAGGGTTGCATGTTTGAGGGGGTTTTCATAGCAGTTCGCAACGAGTCTTATTTTCAAAACTGGGCACAGAGCTAGTTTACTCACCCTGGATGTGGCTACGTATAATAGGTGGGTTTGTGCTTTTGCATCAGTCATGCCCAAATAGGAACAAGTTCTGGCCTGTTTGCTTCTTTCCATCACAAAGCACTTTTACAATTCATCTGAGGGGCATTAACCTAAAAAAAAAAAAGTCTAACACAGAATAGTGGAAAGGTAGCTTTGATTGTCTAAAAACTGCAGGATTTAGACTTTTCTGTCCAGTCCTGGATTCATTCTGATAACTCTGACAGTCAATGCAACAAAAGGCGCCTTGTATCTCCGGACATTTGCTTTTGGTTAAAGTTTTTTTATTACCTCAAACAGTCGAATGCTCGTGGAAGCGTGCACATGTGTACAATTTAGAAGAATGCAAACCAGATGTCACGTTTTGCTGCTGCTGATCACTTTGTGGTTGCAAAGTCATCTAAAACACGAACTTACGAGAACCAGACCAAAATTTTAACCGAATTAAGAAAGTGTGTCTATATTTCACATCATTGTGACAATCTCACGCTTATCTAATCGGGCAAGTTACTCTAAACCTGTCTTGCTTCTTCAACAAGTGTCCTTTGTATTGTGTAAACAGATAATAGAGGCGGATGAATGCAAAACCTGGCCTGCTTACACGCTTTCTGCATGGTGACATTTGCTTTGACACATACTCAGATTTCTAAAACAACCAAAGAATCACACATTGCCTGATTAACACATTTCCAACGATCTAATTTAAACATTAGAACAATAGGATCAGAATGAGTGTAAAGGAGAGTGTTTTTTTAAAAGTTTGAAGACATTCACTCAGTCTAGTTGCCTCATCGCTGGGTTATTTTCCCTCAGGCAGTGAAAGCAACAGATAAATTACAGGTGTCCCTTTTCAATGCGTGTTAAAGATAATTATAGGGGGAGGGGAGGAATATTGTGCAACTTAGACGCGGAAGGTTTTTGGATTTGCGTTTTGAATTTTTGCTTACAAGGCAGAAATTGGGTATCCTTCAAATGTATTCTATTCTTTTTATATTTAAATATTATTGCTTTCAAACTCACTCTCCCCTGGCATAAATAAGAAATTAAAAACTAATGAAAAAAGGTTAAATTAGTACTTTCACCAGGCTATTCACTATAGAGCACATCCACGCAGTCCTCTGCACAGTTTCATAAATCCTTGTTGATATCCATCAGTATCCATGTTTAGAAGCTCCTTTATTTTACGCATCATGTCATAATTTTCTTAAATAACTTCATGTCATTCACTTCATGTCAATTCATTCACGGTAATTATGATTAATCCTTTTCTGACTGTCAAAATGCATCAGCTCAAGCATATAATTAAGTTACAATTCTCATTTCATTCGTAACTTTTAAGCTCAATTAGCAGGACAGGAGGCCGTTTAACCAAAACTGGCTCTCAGTAAAACCCGTTTGGTTGCAGAGTAATGAGAGCATCATCAAATAAAACCTCGACCTGTTGGACCAAACTGCACATGACTGCACATTTTACTACTTGTTTATCTGTAGTGTGGCTGGATGTGGTCTGCACAGACAAATAAAAGCGACATTGACACCAATTCTGAAGCACGCTGGTGGAAATCTTTCAGTCCCCGAATTGCTTTGCTGCCTCCAGGCTTGGACAGCTCACAGATCCATTATTCAGTCCATTCTCACGTTAAAGGGCCTTTACTGTGATGGGACCTGTTCTCCGGCTGGAGCTGGAGAGCCTTTCAGAAGACACTACTGTCCTCAGCACACAAAAACCGCCCAGAGACGGAAGCTTCTGGAAGGATGAAGTCAAATAAATGACTTAAATGCGTCTGAAATGTTGCGGTAACTTACAAATGATGAAGTGCACACAGAAAAAGAACCCCAATTCATAATTCAGCCAATGGAATTTACTTCTCTTGGAATTTACTGATGAAAGTAAAGCTCCCTAAGTTAAACCTTTTCCCACAAAACAAACCAAATCCCCTCCATGAATGATTGAACCCTCAAGCTGAGTGCGTCTCACTGTGTTTGGGCATGCAGAGTACTTTGTGGTAACCAGTTTTTTTTAGTCCTTTGGCACCTGGAGGATTGAATATTCAAATATCAAAGGTTAGGGTTGTGGGTTTGTGGGTTTGTGTAGTTGCTTTCCACCTGTCGGTGCACGCAGAGGAGCTGGGGCTGATGAGGAATGTGAGGCCTGTCCCTGAGCCTCCGGGGCCCAGAGTCACAAACACGCAGGAAAGGGTCTGTGCACGGATGTCAATGGAAAAAAAGAACGTTAGCACATTTCCAAACCAAAGTTAACACCTTTGCAAATATATTAATATTCTGATTTTACTATCTGTGCTAAGGCTAGCGTCAGGGTCAGGATTAGGGTTAAGGTCAGGGTTAGGGTTAGGGTTGGGGTTGGGGTTTGGATTAGGGTTAGGGTTGGGGTTTGGATTAGGGTTAGGGTCAGGGTCAAGGTGAGGGTTAGGGTTAGTGTTAGGGTTTGGATTAGGGTTTGGATTAGGGTTAAGGTTAGGCTCAGGTTTGGGTTTGGGGTTAGGGTCAGGGTTAGGTTAGGGTTTGGGGTTAGGGTCAGGGTTAGTTTAGAGTTGTTAGCCCAATTCTTTAGTTTGAAGCCTGAGAATAAACCAGAGTAGATCAAGAGTACAAATATGACATTTATTGGACACAGGTGAAGTCATCAGAAAAAGCTCTCTGAGGGCGTGATGGAATCTGGGTGTGATGGATTCTGTCTTGTGGGCTGGACCCGCCCCTTCAGAGGAGGACTGGACACGGCCGAGTCCTATTGGCCAGTTACCTCTGGGCATAAACAGGACAGGTACTAACTCATGCAGGTGACACTGGAATGTGGTAGCAAATGGTGTGTGTGTGTGTGTGTGTGAGTGTGTGTGTGTGTGTGTGTGTGCGTGTTAACCTTAAAGACGTGTTTCTGCTGCCAGAAAGTTTAACACAAAATTATAGTTCTAAAAGGAAAAAACAATCAGTAATCTACATGGATTGTGTTATAACATGCTAACAATGCTAATATGAATAATTACAGCCAAATTCTAACAGGGTTAGCACTTTTTATGAGCTTATGCAGGTTTTTTTACACTGACAAGCCTCTCACACACGTTCTTGTCTTGACGGGAAAAGCTCTGCTGTTTTTGTGTGAGACGGATGACTGACGGAGCTAGTGTGTGTGCGTGTGTGTGTGTACTGGTGTGTGTGCTGGTGTGTGTGCATGTGTGTGTGCTGGTGTGTGTGCTGGTGTGTGTGCAGAGTGGTTCTCATGCGTGGAGAGTGAATGGAGTACGCACAGGTCCCATTAAGTCGCTTCTTTTGTTCCACTGAATACTCGTAATGATAAGTAACCTCAAACATCCCTGTTTACTCTAACTGATCTGTGGCCCATTCATATGGATTGCTTTGTTAAATGGTCTTAGGTTGAAGTAAAAACCACAAAACCGCCCATAAGTCCGGGCAAGTTTATTTTGCAGCACATGTTGTGTACAAGACAATTTAAAGTGCTTTACAAAGGATTTAAAAGCAAAAAAAAAGGAATAGACAAAATTAATTGAATAAATAAAAAGTGAAGATAAAATACATTCAGTTTCTGTATTCATAGTTAAACAGATCCATTTTCAGCCTGGATTTAAACATTGTTAGAGTTTAATTGGTCTGTTTGATAAATAATTTCCCTCTGGGATTATTAAAGTATTTCTGATTGTGAAACAGCATTTACCAAATAGAATAAACACACACACACCATCTGGTTTTCACCTGAATGGAAACGACTACAGTGTGGTGACACCGATACCTGAAGCCTGTGATAAGAGGGGGGGTAACGTGCCTGAGCTGGGCTCTGAGCTGAAAGATACTGCTGCCTGGGTGTGGCTCATTCATCTGCAAGCCGGCCAAAGAAAACATCTCCTGTTCTGTAACCTGTAAAGAGGGTGGTGAGTCACCGGGTCCATACCTGTGCGGCTGCAGGGCCCCAGGTATGGACACACAGGTATGGACCCACAGGTGTGGACCTACAGGTGTGGACCACACCTCTCAGGGGGAGAAAACCCCCATGCACAGGCTGTAATTCTCCAAGAGGCCTCAAAATGTACGATTATTACCACCATTAACGCTTTTAAGCCCGATCCAAGAATAAAACAAGACAGAAAATTACTTTTTTTTTCGTTTGAATTCCTTATTTGCCCCTTTAACAAAATATTTAAAAATAAAAAAACAAAAATACATTTTTAATATCAATAATTTATTACTATGCAATAGGTCAAGATTATTTTTTGTGTAGTCTTCTACCCCCTGTTATCAGGTGTATCTGATTGTGTAAAATAGGATTTTGAGCAAAGTTTTGACCATAAAATTATGCAAAAGGAGTCAATCCAAAACATTTCAGAAACCGTGTGTATCAAATATGATACATTTGGCATTACAGGGTTAAAGCTGTGGTTTAAATAGAGGTGGCTGATCAGGCAAACATCAGTTAAAATGACCCACGTTGCTCTGTCTGTTAGTAAAACACAAATATGCCCCACACCAGGGGGGCTGACATGGAGAGAGCATTTCGATTTGAAATGGATTTTCATGTGTTTGCAGAGAGAGGAGAGTGGAGGCCAGCAGATGGTGAGGTGAATGAGTCCTGTCCTCACTGGCCAATGTGACACATCCAGGGCGGGTGTTTGTTCAAGGAGGATTATCATTTAATAGTCAGTGTGTTCAGGGAGTGAAGCACAAAATCAGAGAAAGGAATTCAAACGTTCAACAATTAATCCTTTCTGCCAACAGCAAATCAGTCACTTATTATTTTTTGGAGGTCGATTCTGTTTGATGACTCCAGCTTTACTGCTGGACAACCATTCAATTTTCAGAGCAGAAACCAACCACACAAACATGTAGATTCAGTATCTGAGCTTTTCTGTGTTTTCTGTGCTTATCAAATCCAGCGTTTCTGTTTCACCCTGAAGTGGCGACTTGTATTATATAAGCAGATTTTTGCTTCTTTTCTGAGTAGAATAAAGTAATCACACCAATAAAGGTCTCTGGTGGAGAAACAATCTGTTTCCACTAAAGGAAAATAAGGTTACACAACCTGACTTTGTGCCAGGAGTGTGTTCAGAGAAATCCGGGCGACCCCTGGTGGTCATGAGGTAAACTGCATCCTGAAGTAAAAGCTGGATTTTTGTGGTTACCCGAAGAAAAAAAACACTCTGAATCAAATCCTGCCATCAACCATGAACTAAAAATCAAGTGGTCAGGTGTTAGATATGGGGAACTATGATTTTATGAATAATCGATCTCAGAAAAACAACATTACCCAAAAACGCAGAAAAAATGTTTGAAAAGTCCTCGTGAGTTTGTGAGTTTATCAGGATGAAACACCCATAAGACAAAAGCGATAATGTGATGTTATAATAGTGATATAATAACTCCAGGTCTGCACATTTTTGCACAAGTTGTGTTTACATAAAACAAAGATGTCATAGGTTATAGTTCATGTCAGTACAGTTTGAAAAAGAACAATTATGGTTTGTTTTTTAAGTCCAGAGCTCAGTCTGGAGGTTAAAGTGGTAATTACTTATTGTTTTTTGTCCCAGCACTTGAACCCTTCAAATTGAAATCAGTTATATTAACAGTAACAGTGTAACAGTGTTATTTCATTAATGTTTATCACAATTGGGCCCTCGACTTTTTCACAATTTGTTAAACAAATAAATACTCTAAATGAAAATAAGGTTTTGGTTTTCTAATAATTGTTCAGACTTTGGAGGGTAAAAAAAAATCTGTTCATACGGAGTCCAGCTGGCAGTTAAGAAGCTCTCAGAAAACAAAAAAAATCTAAACAAATACACAAAACTCCACTGTTAAACCATTTCTCACAGATGTTATCTAACAGATAATGCTCTGATCTGACCGGATTATCTGGGAATCAGAGAACACCCCCCCCCTTTCATCTGATTCTTTTATGGCCTTTCCCCATAGATCACCATCAGGCCATAACTTTGATTATTTACACTTCGCTAACAGGTTGTGGGTTCAATTCCTCTCAGAGTCAACACCACAATGACCCCCATCTAAATACCGGAGTCCAAAGTGTATAAGGGAAATAAATTTGATAGTTTCTTCACACGTGTTTAGTTATACATCCATAAGAACGATTAGAAACACATATGTAAAAATGTTTGTTCGTCTTGTTTTTATATTTCGTCAACCAAAGATTTCAGATTGAAATTGTTTATACTTGTATCATTTTCTTTTTGCGTCAGGGTTTAAGCGAGGACATTTACAAAAGCAGCAAACATAATCCGATCAAGTCTTCTTGGTAAACTGGGTGTGAATGCATGAAAGCACAAAAGCCTTGTTTGTTTATTTATTTTATTTGGGATTATCTTCTGGATTACTTTTACTTTGCTGTGTCACTGCTTAAATGACTATTAGCTTCAACGTTAGGTTTCAGATTTGGTGAATCGCATCTTTTGGATGTGATTTGAGTTTAGTTTTATTTATTTAAAGAAACATTTTCTGATGTTTGCTCATAAAAAAAAATGTCCAGAATGCAATTAATTCCCTTTGAGTCTGTATTCAAGTTTAGAAAGAAAGCAACAAACAGTCAAGCCCAGGTGCTCCTGTATCACCCTGAGGCGTATTGATCCTCATTTTAAAAACCGAAAACAGGACATCCGGCTTATTCCGTGCGTGTTAAAGTGGGATTTCCTTTTTTTTTAACTTTATTTCTACTGCACAGGCTGTTAAACACCTGGGGTTGTCAGTGGAAACTGGACATAGAGGAGCTGGAGCACTGGAAACAGAATCGATACGTTCTGTAAACGCTGCTAATGTGATGCAGGCCGTGTGGTGTTCTCTCTAAAAGGGCCACAGCGAGTCATCTGGAAAGTACCGACCACAGATGGTCCTATCTGTTTCTGTAAAGACAGAAAAACAGGTTTTGGTTCATCACATGATGGTTAAAAAATGTGAAAAAGCTAAGAAAGATGGAACTATTCAACTGTCTTTAATATGTTTTAGCACCAAAGCCAGTCCAGTATTCCTTTAACTTTGAGCTTCTTCACCAACATAACAGCTTCAACCAAACCACAGTGTGTGTTTTAGAATAAAGTGGACTTTATAAGTGGATTTGATCGGGTTCTGACTAAACCACAAGTCACTGGACTGTTATTGGCCTTAATTTGAAGCCTTCTTGACCTGAATTGAAAACACTGATCTAGATTAGTTTAGTTTGATGTTTCCTTTTTGTTTTCTCACCGTTTCTTTTTTTTTTTTTTTGTGTATAGTTTTTTTTTTAAATACAAAAACACAAAAGCAGAAAAGAATGCTCGTCGTAAAACAATGTGGCGTTTAGAAAGACGTCAAAAATAGACACAATGCTTCAAAACTGTCATTCTTTCTGGTCCTTGTTAAAACTGGTGTTTTTCTTTATTCTAAGTTTAATTTGTGGATGTTTTTTGTTCTTGTATTTTGCATCTGAGAGCTTTCCTGCCTTTAAACCTTTACAGACTAATCTCCCAAAGAGGCTCCATAGTAACGCTTGTTTCTTTGTGTTGGATACAACGGGCTCTAAAGGAGCATTGGATTTCTTGTGTACACACATTGAGTTGTTTTATAGCTATTGCGGTGCAAAAAGAGGCCTTTCTGGGTGTGTTAGGAGGATCATTACGGCTCTCTGTGAGTGCAGGCTGTTTCCTTTACGCACTTCCTTCTAAAGTATCCGTCTCTCAATCAATCCAGAGCTCTAGTTGGGGGCTGTTATCAGTCTTTGAGTTGAGGCTGAGCTGCTTATATATGTGAAGCCCCCGTGTGCTGGCCCACATCTCTCTCCTTTGGCTCGTGTCAGTCCGGGTCTGGTGGGTCCGTCTTCTGTCTCCTCTGTTCCAGCGGTTCCACATCTGGCTCTGACCGCAGACATGTCCGGGAACGCATTTCTGGTGCTCGCGCTGATCGTGGCGCTGCTGGTTTTGGGCTCCTCCCCCGACCCTGCGGCGGCCGCAGAGACCCAGGTCCTGCACCGGCTCCTGGCCAAACGGGAAAAGGCCCGAGACCCGGCGGGGCCGGAGACCCGGGCGGAGAGGCGGGCGCATCTGTCCGAGGATGAGCGGGAGATGATGACCAAGCAGATCGTGCAGGCCATCTCAGGTAGGCCGGACGGTCTACTTCCTGTTTCTTTCTTTCTGAGAGCGAGCAGGTGTCGGTGAGAAAGCCCCAGATCTGGGGATCTGAGATCTCCCAACCTCTGTGGTTGGGAGTCTCCTCCTATCACTTCCTGTAAGTGTTCCTAGGGGCTGTGGAGTCTGGATCTGTGGTTGGGAGTTTCCTGCTGCCCCCGTGTTCCTGCTCTGTTGCCGTCATAACTTCTACCATCATCATTATCATTAATATCATTGCCATTTTTCATCCAGTCTATGTGTTACTGTGTTGGCTCCCTCTATCCTTGCCCTCTGTCTCTCTTGCCCTCTCTTTCCCCTCACCCCCAACCGGCCGACGCAGATGCCCCCCCCACCCTGAGCCATGGTTCTGCTCCAGGTTTCTGCCTGTTGAAAGGAAGTTTTTCCTTGCCTGTGTCGCCTATTGCTTGCTCATGGTGGGAATTGTTGGGTTTCTGTAATTAACTTCAGAGTAGGGTCTGACCTGCTCAGTTTGGAAAGCGCACAACTGTTGTTGTGACATGGCGCTATATAAATAAAATTGAATTGAATTGAATAGATCTGTGCACTGAACGGCTGTCTGTGTGGTTCATGTAGGGATGGTTTGTTCGCAGAGGTGATGAACTCTGGGTGCGTGTCTGACCGGGACTACCAGGGCTGGGTGGACTTCGGACGGCGGGACGTGGACTGAGGGGCGCCTCCCATCCCGGCCGCTCACTAAGATTGTACAGAAGTTTTTTTTCCTCTCCCTGAAAGCTTAGAAATAAACATTTTTGCAGACTTATCATGGCGTGCGTTTGTGTTACTGTGTGGTGGCGAGCGGGCGGACGGACGCTCGAGGCCCTGCTGAATGGAAATGCAGCTTTATTCACAGGTGGTAGAACGTACACACACACAGACACACATCTGACGGGCTACAGAGAAGAGCAGTGCAGAGAGAAAAAAATGGTGGATTTGGCTGATTCAAGTCAGAACACAAATCGTTAGAACCTGTGTTTATGATTTCTTCCCTTTTAAATCCACAGTATCCTATGCCTTTTTTTTTTTGCTAGTGGATTGTTCAGACAGAAATGTGCTACATGATCACACAAAATGGCCGCAATCTACCAAACACTGTGAAAAAAAAAAAAAGCGAGAGAACACTTTGAATGCCCAGCATGATCGTGATCAAAATCTCAGCACTTTAAATAGTCCTGACAGCATGAAATACAGCAGATCTGTACAACCTAACAGCGGGAGCACACACTGCCTCTAGAGGCCAACGCCACACAACAGACCCCGTTTGGTTTTGGTGAAATTTGGCTCAAATCCCAAGTCCCAAAAATACAGAGGTGACCCCGGTGAGGTGAAGCGGGCAGCTAGAGGACGTTGGTTTCCACATCAGGTGCAGATGTCTCCCACATGCTTTTCTAAACATAGCAGCTACAAGCAGGAAGACCAGAGTGGCGTTTTCATAAGTGCATTCAAATACTCTTCAGAGTGACAGCATCACTGGGATGTGAACAGTACATTACTGCATGTCGTCTTTTCTTTAAATATTACGCAACAAAGCTACTATTTACACACGGCTGAAAACAGAACAAAAACAATAAGCGCTGACATTTTTTAAAACCAGTGATGAGCAGATGTGTAAAATGACATTCACAAAACACAGTATAAAAAGTTTGTTTTTATGAGGTTTCTTTCTTTCTTTCTTTCGTGTAAAAAGAAGCGGTGTGGTTGGTAATCAGGCGGCTGTCCTGAGATGGAGATGTCTCACAAACAAGCAGCTCTACTGTGCACAAGTTCATAGAAAAGGAGGCTTTTTTTTTTTTTTTTTTCTTTGCACTGCCAGTGACTCCAGTATGGCTCTAACACATTCAGTGGCTTCTGTTTTCAAGACACGGGTGCTGTGGTGGGTCCAGAACTGCCCAGTGGGACGCGTGTAGCTTATCAAAGTCACTATGGTGAATAGCAGAGGACTCGGACGTGAGCGTGTCAGACTTTTTTGATCCCCCAGGCCGCCACCCGGTGCAGGCCCAGGCTCTGGAGCTTCTCCACCAGGTTCAGGCTGAAGCCGCTCCGCCCTGGGGGCCGGGAGGGGGGGGGGGGGGGGGGGGGGGGGGGGGGGCCGCCGGGGGCCAGGAGCTGCGGGGGGGGGGGGGGGGGGGGCCTCACGTACTCACAGTTCCCACAAGATGGCAGGACGAAAGGGCGAAGGCTGCCGAAAACCAGAGAAAGAAAACATATTCATAATTCATATTCATAAGAAAGAAAACCAAAAAAAAGCAACGCGTGAAAAACAGCTTTGACTCAGTTCACAGCTCTCATGCATGCACATGTGCACATGAGCGTGCACAAAACTGGTGAGTAAAGCAAGCCGATGCTTCAGATTCAGTTAGTTCTGAGTGTTATTGCTAAAAAAAAATGGAGGTTTGGGTTAGAAGGCCGGCGAGGATGTGGCAGGATCTGAAATCTGTTGAAATGAAACCTAAAAAAAAAAGGGCCAAGAGGCATTAAAACAGATTCAGGTTAACAGTTAGTAGGAATGAAGGTCTACAGCATTTTCCGTACGCTGCCATCATGCAAAGACCTTTACAATTAAGGCTTCTAACTGTGGCATTAAAGGAACGACAAACCAGCAGTTAGTGAACCGCCAACACACAAACAGAAGCACCTTCTCTGTAAACACCCTCAGAATCCAGACTTAAATAAGTAGGTGAGACTCAGCCAAACAAAGAAAGATTAGAAATGAGAGCTGTAGAGTCACAGAAGATCAGCGTGTGAGGTACGCCTCCATCACAGCAGTTTTCAAAGGATTTTTCATGAGGAAATACTGGGTTTCAAAGAGGAGACTACGAGAAAAGCTATTTATAGTCTGCTGAACAACTAGACGTTAGATCTCTCTGCTTCTATCCTTAAAAGTGGAAATCCTGTAAAGATCACACCAGGAGAGGAAGCTGTTTAAATGACTAATATAAGTCATTGCTCACGTGTCCACTTTGAGAGCAGAGATTAACAAAGGGACCGTGCAGGAAACCTCTAACCAGAATTAAAATCAATTTTTTTACAAATATCTAAATTAGGCACTTCTCAAATTTCTGCAGCTCTGCACCACAAACAAAGTGAAACACTGAGGAATGATGGAGGAGAGCAGCTTTGCTACATTCGAGTCTGATTCAAGTTTAAATTCCTCTTTTTCTTCTTCTGTGAATCCAATAAAGAACATCAGAACTGTAGCATTTTTTTTTCTTAAAAAAAAAAATGCTGCTTACTGTTTTCTTTTCTTTTTTTACTTGGACTGTCATCAAAGACTCTTCAGTCTTAATAAAATCATGAGACGTACAGCTGTTTGTGTGTTTTAGTAAAGTCACGTCGTATTCAGGCCACATTTTGGATGAAAGAACACAAATAATTAACATGTTGCTGTGCCTTTGTTTTCAATAACAAAGAATTGAATCGAGCAGTCGGCGGGCATCCATCACACCGCAATCTTACTTTTGCCGGACGGCTCCTCCTAGAGCTGGAGAAAGAGCCTCGACAGGCGTTTTCTGCTAATGAAGGGGCAAAGAGCAAAGGTTTGAGAGACAAGCAGCGGGCAGAAGAGAGGCACTGTGGGAAATCAGCTCAGGTAATGCACACCCAACTGCAAAGGAAAGGGTTAATGGCCTCTTCAGACCTTTGTCTGTGCTCATCGAGGACTTTTAACTTTGATCCTCAGGGCTGTGAAAACAACAGGCGATAGACAGTTCTTACCTAGTGGAGAAGGAGGGCATGAGAGGGGAGGGTTGGAGGACTCGGCAGGTGGTAATGGTATGAGTGGGAGGGGTCTGAGGGAGGTTGGGACCCGATGAGGAGACTGTGAGGTCATCAAGGGAGAGGGACACATGAAACGTCACACAGAGGAAAACACACTCAATGAGGAACTGATGATCAAACTAATGACACCTGAGATGAGTAATGAAGGACTGATGAGATCCTGATGATAACGGAGCTGACAGAGGCCTGGTGTGTGTTGGTGTGTGTCCTACCTAAGCCGTGGGCCCCAGAGAGCTGGGTCAGGTCGGGCTCGTCCTCCTCCAGGTCGTTCAGGCTGTAGACGTGCTGAATGTCAATCTCTAGCTCCTTGAAATCCTTGGTGAGGACGCCGGGGCGCGGGTGGAGGATCCCCCCCAGGTTGGGTTTGGCCAGCTGCTGCCAGTGGTGCAGCGTCACCGAGCCTGAGCAGACGGAGGGCGTCATGTGAGGGGTGTTTAACTACTCATGCAGAATTTTATTAAAGCTATGAGGAAAAAAATGCCCAAAAAAGCTGCTTTGATCTGGAACAGGGGAGGGCAACTCCAAACCTCGAGGACCTGCAGGTTTTAGAGTTTTCCTTCCTTCTACACACCCGATTCAGATCAAACTGATCTCTTCTAAAGATAGTTCAGCTCTGCGCAGGACTGCCGATGTTGTGTTTAGGATGTCCCGATCCAGCTTTTTGCTCTTCCAATCCGATACTGATCCCGGCCTATCAGAGCATGTGTTAAAGTCTAAAGTTATTCATCTACTTACTTACTTACTTTTTTTTTTACTCCTGTTGAACGGGGATTTACTCTGATAACAACTTATTGGTTAGGACACAGACCTGTGGGTTACAGATGCTAATGCTAATGCGGGATCAGACTTAAAAAAAAAAAAAAACTGGATCTGGAGTCTGGATCTGCATTTTCTGATGCTGGCCGATACGCATTTTTTTGCGAATACCGGCAGCTGATCCGATCCAGATATCGGATCCGGACCAGCCTTGTTGTGCTGATGAGAATCAGGTGTTTAGAAGCAGGGACACCTCTAAAACCTGCAGGGCAGCGGCCCTCGAGGCCCCGGAGTTTTCCGCCCCTGATCTGTAACGTTTAGGCATCATTGACACAGACGATCTGCCTCATCTGTTCTGAGACTGCTTCTCCTAAACTGACCTTCCAGAGGCTTGACGATCTGCAGGCGGTCGGGCAGGTAGGACCTGGAGCCCCCGGAGGATCCGCAGGAGTGCCGCGAGCTGCCGTTGGAGTAGTTGGTTCCCGTGGAGGCGGCGGGGCTGGAGGCCAGGCTGTCGTTGGGGGTCAGGAAGCCGCTGGAGCCCTCGCCCTCCTCGCAGTGGGACGCCAGGGCGCGGAGCTTCCGCTCCCGCTCCACGTCGAAGAAGGGCCGGTCGGAGGAGTGGCTCTGCTGCCGGGCGGAGAGGCTGCGCAGGGCCGCCTCCAGGTCCTGGCCGCCCGGGGTACCCGGCTGGCCCAGGCGTTTGGGCCCGCCGACGCTGAGGAGAAAACAGACCTTTATGTTTATGTTTGTGCATTTGGCATTTGGCATTTTACGCTTTTATCCAAAGAGACTTACAGAGTAGACACAATATTACATTATTCATCAATATGACAATAAGCTATACAGAGGAGAAACACTGATCAGAGTCAGTGGTGAGATAGAGATAAAGGTAGAGGGGACCGAGGATACTTGATTGTTTAACATGATTTCCACTTATCTATCTAAATTTACATTCATGTCTACCCCTTTTTAAAAAAAAAAGAAATGTGTATTTTTTTTTTTAAATCCGTTTTTCTTTTTATACTTTTTATTTATTTATACTTTTTATTTTATTAATTTATTTTTTATTTATTTATCTTTTTAATTCATTTGTTTATTAATTTATTTTTTGGCCTGTGGGTGGGGTGGGTGGTCATGGTGGATTGGGGGTTGACAGAACTGTGACGTTGAGTTTGTATTGACACTTTGAATTTGTCCCAACAATGTCTGTCTTAAGTTCAAAATGTTCAATAAACAAAGTTTGAAAAAAAAAAAAGAGGTAGAGGGGACCACAGAAGAAGTTGTGGGGGGGAAAGAGGTACGGGTTAGGGTTAGGATAGGAGATGCTCTTTGAAGAGGGGGGTCTTCAAGAGTTTCTTGAAGATAGACAGGGACCTGCTGTTCTTGTAGCTTGGTAGGTGGTTCCTCCATCTTGGAACGACACATTAAACAGTCTGGATGGTCTTAAGCTGGTGAAGGCTCTGCTAGACCACAGTCCACTGATGACCGGAGTGATCGAGTTGTGACATAAGCCTTTGCAAGAGGATTCAAGTAGATGGGAGCCGGACCCTTAAGCACTTTGTAGGCCACCATGATGGCCACCTGATGCTACGTTACGTTACACTCAACTCAATTCAATTTCATTCATATTGCGTCTCATCAACAACAGTTATCTCACAGCGCTTTCCAAACAGAGCAGGTCAGACCGGACTCTGAAGTTAATTACAGAATCCCAAACAATGCTGCTTTTGCTTGTTTTTTAGAAGGTCCCGAGATACAGCAGCTTTTCCAGTCGGTTTCCAAAAACGAATGAGGAGAAACCTGGAGCGGCCGGGCTCACCTGTTGTCCTCCTTCTGGGCGGGAGTGGAGCAGGGCTTGTCCTCCAGCGTGAGGCTGGCGTTGTCGGAGCCGTAGTAGCTGGTTCGGGGCGTGCTGGTGCAGCTGGAGCGCACGGACACGGGGCTGGAGCCCGGCAGCCCCGGGGAGTGGCACTGGGAGCGCATCCGCACCGCCTTGTTCACCACCTTCACCGTCTCAAACACGCGCCACGGGTGGTTCCTGCCGGCACACACACGGTTCGGACATGAGGACATCACACACATCAGCAAATTGGAGCGTGGACATGTGCTGGGGCTAGAAGAATCAGAGATACTTTAATAATCCCAGAGGGGAAATTATTTAGAGAGCAAAGATGGCAGAAAAACCCACCAGAGAAAGTCAGGCATGTTATCACAGCCAGCAAGAAACAATCAACCTTCTGGAAACGAAGATTTGTAACCATTTTCAACGTTATTGAGCTCAAAAGCTAATTGGAAAAACTGCATAAATCTCTATAAACGTAACATTTTTTGGTCAAACATAAACTTGGATAAAAAATTAAAAACATATTTCAACACTTTTTACACATGATAAAAGTAGCAGAGGTAGCTAAAAGTCGAAAAGGGTCAATGTTCATTCAAATGAGTGCATTGGCAGTATGGGGGGGGGGGGGGCACCCCCTAAACATCACTGGTTTTAACACATGCTGGTTCTGGAACAACCCACTAAACACTGATGAGTGCAGACTGGAAGTTGCCTGGCAACAAAAACATCCACATAACTCTTGGTTTTCTTTCAAATGTAGAAAAATTAAGATTGATGATTTGAACTTAGTTTTTTATGCAGGAATTCACTGTCTTTAGAAATAAGTACATTTAAAAAATGCTTTTTAGAGCTTTTAAAAGACACGTCCATGGTCCTCATAAACATTAGGAAATACATTTAAAGAAAAATATTGAATGGATTTCCTGCAAAAAAACTTTGGGGCGCAATTCTAGATTTTAGTGATTCTGAGAACAGAATTGAAACATAAACAAAACGGTTTTCTTCAGCCCAGGTTTTCTTTCTGTCCAGGGGCCGCCATGGGGGACAGACGAAGTCAGGGGAACCCGGTAAGAGCTCATCGTCCGGCTAAAACAAAACCACCAGAAAAGCCGGCAAATCCAGGAGGGATTTTTTTGCACTGTTCTCTTACACAGGACACTTTTTAATGGCGATCACGTGAATTTGATTTGAATTTTATTTTCATACAGCTTGCTTTTATTGCTCTATTGTACAATGAGTCAAAACACCAGCCCAACGTGATCGGGAACCAAAGAAAATGTGATATTTTACAGATTTGGATTCTTTTCTCTCAAGCTGAACTTTAATTTTAGGGATTTTTAATGATCAAATGTATTGGATTGTAAAAATCTTAATTATTTAAAAACATATCTGTATAGTCAATAAATATTTCTCTGGATGATAAATTCCTTATAAACAGCCATTATGACAGAAACTAGAACGACAATGTAAATAAATATTATGAAAAATCTTTGGAAAAACCAGCCAATCATTTAAAAAAAAAAGATATATAATCCAATTTAAAATATCACTTAATACTAAAAGAGTTTCATTTTGATTGCCTTAGAATATTTTAGTGTAACTGTGCTACTGTGGAATCTGAAAAGTTCATATTTATTTCTCTTTTTGAAGACACAGCAACAGACAGAAGCCGCTCAGCCACAGGTATCACCGGCCAACCATCCAGATCCAGAAGTTACAACCCTCAAACAAGCTCTTCAGGAAGCCGAAAGAAACATCCATGAACTCACCACAAGCAACGCCAGTCTGGTCAAGGAAAAGGCCAGATTTGAGAACGAAATCAGACAGACGCTGATGGAATTTAACAGGAAGTACAACTACATAATCGCGGAGATCAAGAAGGTGGAGGAAGATTTGAAAGTTGCCCAAAACAGAAAGTCTCTCGGTAGGAACGAGAACGAACGGCTGAAAGCAGAACTGAGAAGGGTGAGGGCCCTGGAACAAGAAGGGAGGGTCAGCAGGGAGGAGCTGGAGCTCCGGCTTAAAGAGGAGCAGCAGAAATGTGAAGATCAGAGAGTGGAGATGGTGAGGAAGGAGAGACGGATCGCCAGCTTCAAAAGCCAAATGCTCGCTCTCACAAAGGAGCACATTCAAACGCTGGTGGCCATGAACCAGAGGGAGGACGAGCACAATGAGAAGGAGAGACGCTGGACGATGAACCAGGAGGCCGTGGGGGACCAGCTTTAGGCAGGCGGGGGGGAGGGTCACCCTTTCATTTTCTACAGAACAAATAATAACCTCTTCAGAAACACCTGATTAGTCAAACATGCTCTGGTTTTTCCTAGTTTTTACAGGAACTTTTCCCTCGAAAGGGGAGAACTTAATCCACCTCAGCTCGCACCTAGAATAAAACTTCCAAAACAGATCCCACGATTTTTTTCTCACAGGACAGAAAAACCCGACAGCCAAAACAGTGTTTATGCCCTTATTCTGGGGTTTTATAGACGAGAAAAAGCCAGAAAAAAACGCCACATCGTCAAAGTCCAACTAAAAACATCCACATGAAAACAGCGTCCTCATTTTGTCCACTTTTAGGGCCTTTTTATGGGGTCAGATCACAGATCTTCTTTGTTTTATTAGGCTAATATAGCTGGAAATAATACAGCTTAATCCTATAAACTCCATCTTAATATATTCTTAAGGGAACTACTTCTTTTTTTTTTGGGGGGGGGGGCATAATTAGCTGAAATCAGGTTAAATATGATCAACATTAGCGTTTGTGTTACCAACAGTGTCTGTTAGCGTTCCACACTGCTGTGATCAATTCTCAATAATGTAAAGTTTTAAGAGATTAACTGCTAATTGAAGCTGACGTCATGTGACTCTCTCAGTTTTGTTAAGTAATCAGTTACTGTTAAACTAAACTAAACTTTCCCTTCTCTGATTGTAAAAGCTGCCCTTGAGTCAGAGCCATGGTAACATATGTGATGTTCTGAATGAAGATAACTGATTTATTTGCCCTTCATCATGTTTGTTTGCTACATAGATTCTGGCTACACTCAAGTCTGATACTTTTATCCATTAAAACGTTTTACAAGAAACTGCAACTGAAGTCTCTCTTAATGTCTGAGAAAAGGAAAAAATTAAATAAAAGAAACACCTGCAGACATTTCTTTAGCTTGGAGCATAACCCAATTTCATCTTTCAAAAAGCTTAGCATGGATTAGCTGCACCTCTTCCCACTGAGGTTCTTCAATTATAAAAAATCTTTCTCTGACCTGTTTTTAATGGATTAGCAGTGTTTCAGTAACAATTATAATAAAACAGTCCTTTGTGCCATATTTGATATCATAAAAGTTGGAAATGATCTATTCGTGTCACCGTATCATTCTGGGGTCTTTATATGCTGAGAAAAGGGTCAGAAATGTGAGAGCAAACACAACCACAGCCACCCTAAAGCCTGCACTGTCCGGTTAAACTGGGCCAGACTCACTTGTACTCTGAGGGAGCCGGCGTGTCCAGGCCTTTCCGGAAGGTTCCCTCTATCTCTGCGGCCAGCGAGTCCATGGGCAGCACGGAGGCCAGGGCCGTGTAGCGCTGCACCGTGCTGTTCGGCAGGCTCTTGTTCCGCAGGTTTTTGATGTCCTGCTGTGCCTCGTGGAGCATGTCCTCACACTCTGAGTACTTGTCCCGCAAGTCCTTCAGCTGCAAACATGCAGAAAAGTGTTACATCTCAGGGCCGAGTCCTATTTCTGTATATAAAAAGATAAGTGTGAGAACACAGGACAGGGGTCGTTTAGGCCTCTAAAAATCACACTTCTGCACTTTTAAAACCTAAAAAGAGGCTTCTGATTAGCACAAATGTCATATAAACTGTGACTGCTATTAAGCTACTCACAGATGCATCAAACATCAAACATGGAGCAAAATAATGATTCTTAAAGCATTTCGAGTCACTTGCCTCTGACTTAAGCTGCTGCTCCCTCTCGCGGGATGCACTGAGGTGTTGGTTCAGCTCCTCATTCTCAAGGCTCAGCTACAAACACAAGAAAGCTCACATTTTAAAACTCACTTCATTTATAATCGTACCAGACTGCAGCAGGAAGATGTCACTCTCTACCCCTTAAGGCGGAGGTCTTCTAAAGGGGGTCTGCGACCCCTAGGGGGTCCTGGAGGTACTGCATGGGGGTCGATAGACTTTTTTAATATTCCCCCCCTGCAATTTTTTCCACTAATTGAAATGTCTTTAAATCCACATGAACATGAATCCAACAGACTGTAGTAAACAGATAAATGGAGGCAGGAGCTCTTTCAAGCTGGGCACCCTTTCATTCACAACACCTGTCCCACCAACCAGGAACCAGAACCAGATGTTCACAATAAAAACAGGAAAATATGAACCTCTGGATTATTTGTGGAACTTAGTATCGAATGTCCAATAACAAGGTGCATTTACAAACAATAGGACCTGTTTGGTATAACACAATTTCATACAATATATATATATATATATATAATTAGGGGGTCCCCCTCCATCAGTTTGGGGAAACGATGAAGACCTCTGCCTTAAGGAATTCATTCCAAAGTTTTTTGTTTACCCTTTAAGGCGTATTAAGTCTTATAACCAACCAGGAGATGTGTTCATTTGCTGTGTGTGTGTGTGTGAAATGGTGTGTGTGTCTCACCCCTTTGCATCGGGCCTGCAGGTCAACAATCTGCGCCAGCAGGGAGCTGATCTCCTCCTGCTGCCGGACGCCATCTTCCACTTTCCGTGCCAACTCCTCCGAGAGGTCCACCACCTGCTTATTGACGGAGGCTGAAACACACAGCTGCCGTTACTTCAGATGCTCCCGAAATAGGATTTCAAACGTTTTCCTTTCCGGAGGCCGGTTTGAAACACTCACTGAGCTCCTCCACACACACCATCATCAGCTCCTGCTCCTGCTCCTCGTAGTTTGTGGTCTCCGTTGAGAGTTCGGTGGCCTGCAGGAACAAGGCCAAACACTGACTGATCTGATCTCAGAGGACAGGGTTAATGCTTTTGTGTAGTCTTAGTGTTTCACACCTCAAGTCTCAGTTTGCGGTTCTCGTCCTCTAAACTCTTCAGTTTCTGGTGCAGGAAGTCATAATGGACAAAGCTGCTCAGAGAAGTGGAGGATTCGTTCCTTTTAATTCTGCGCAGAGGGGAAAAAATGCGTTAGAAAAAAGGACAGGGAAAAGTGTATCTTGTGTAGAACGGGGATTATAATGCAGTTGTTTCGGCACTGCGTGACACGGGAGCATCAATGAGCAGCAAACACGATTAAGTGCTGATGGGGCGGAGCTCTGCAGGAGGCTTAGCTGGAAACTTTGAGAGGATCAGTGTGGACGCTCTGACATGTGTTTACTCACACACTCCATGTGCTGAGCGGCAAACGAGGAATCTGGACAAACCCCCTCACTATAGACTGACCAGAATAAAAGGCCTTTTGAAGCTCCGAGCAGAGGCTAACATTCAAGTCCTCTAAAAACTGAGTTTTTTTTATCAAATTAGTAAGTCAAGAATCTTAGCAGCCGAATCTCCCTTTTCAATACAATTTGGTGATATTTTAGCAACTCTGTAATTTTGGTATTGTTTTTTCATTTTCAAAGAGAATGACCAAAGGATAAAAATGTTGGCAAAACTTCTTAACCCTGTAATACCAAATGTATCATATTTGATTCATACGGTTTCTGAAATGTTTTGCGTCACCTTTTGCATTATTTAATTGTAAAAACTTTGCTCAAAATCCTATTGTACACATTCAGATACACCTGATAACAGGGGGCAGAAGACTACACAAAAAATAATCTTGACTTATCTCATAGTAATAAATTATTAATATAAAAAATGTATTTCTGTTTTTTCTTTTTACATATTTTGTTAAAAGGCCAAATAAGGAATTCAAACCCCCCCAAAAAAAATTCTGTTTTGTTTTGTTCTTGGATCAGGCTTTAAAGGGTTACTCTGTGATGTACTCCACGAAACACTTATATATTATATTATAAATTGCAGTAAGTAGACCATAAAACTTGTATGTATATACCGTTTTCCCTGCTGCTAGTATTTAACTGTCATTGTAGGTTTTAATGAAGGGGTGTGTTTTGTTTTTCTACTGTGTTGACGGGAACTGAGAGCTGATCTGAACTGGGACTGGGACTCTCAACGTTGGGGGGCTAAACTGGTAACTCACGGCGACTGGGCCTGAGCGCTCTCGATCTCCTCGGTGCTGGCGTAGAACTGCAGGAGGTCGTCCCGCATGGAGAGCTCGTGGCGAAGCTGAGCAATCTAGAAAAGCAACACAGTCGGGATCAGTTGAGCTCAGCGGGTGGGAGGTTCCGGTCACACTCCTCGGGGGCGTTTCTACCTCTTCTTTTGCCACGTCCAGCTGCTCATCCAGCACCTCGTTGCGTGCCGTTAGGTCCTGGTTTTGCTTCAGGAGCGACTGGCCGATCCGAGCCGCCAGCTCCAGGTCCCGCTCTTTCTGCAAAGTCACAGGGAGAATCTTTAAAACTTTTATTTTCCAATACGTTGAAGACTCGTCGCAGCTTTTGGCCAAAAAGTTGAGTTAGTTCTGATGAGACAAGCGCTAAACAGCGCTCAGTGAGTCACGCGTTTAAGCCTCTTTACTCCCCTTCATCTGCTGCTTATCTTACCTCTTCCAGCAGGTGGGTAACTGCCTTGATGTCATGATAGGTCTTGGTGACCTGGCCCACCCTGTCGGAGCACAGCACTGAGACAGAGAGACAGAGAGAGAGAGAAGGATTTCATGAATGGACGGAGAGACAGAGCATTCATAAGAGAAAAATGAATGTTGCTATGAGCTGGGGTCGACCGGTGTGAAGAGAGACGAGTCAAAATAATTTATTTCTTACAAAAAGCAAAAAGTTTGAAATGATTGTGCCATTTTTAAAGAAATAATCAAACTACAAGAAAACAACTGGAACCGTCAGACCCTGATTTTGTGTTTTCTCACATCTTCTGATTCACATTTAACATCAGACCGACTAATAAGGTAGTCAGTGTCGCATCAATGCTATCAACAAAACAGAAGAGCTACGGACCACAACATTACCATGTGATCCACCAGAAAGGATCCGCTTAGCCTGATCCCTTTTAGCTCAGATAAGACACCGATAAAGGCCTCGTTCTGGTGGATATAAATAGAGCTCAATGAGAGGGACTGCAGGGCTGGATTCCCAACAGCAGGACAGGTACACCATGGAGGGGATAACGGGGGCTTTTGCTGACCTGAGACACTGTTTACATCCTGAAGAGCAGTTTGTTTATGCTGGCGTCACAGCCAATAAGCCTGAAGGGTCACAGATGATTAATTAGTCTGTTCTGGAGGACTTAAAGTCGTTTATTTACTTTGTCCAAATACAAGTGCACTGCGTTCAACACATCAGAATGTTTTATTGTCACTTTCTACTTTGAAATGACATTCATTTCTAATTACTGAAAATATTAAGAGGTTGAAAAGTACACAAAAGTTTGTTTGCTAGGCAGTTTTATCAATCTGATCGTATTTAGTTTGGCACATTTTATCAGGGTGTCACTTTTTTAAGCAAACTTGGAAAATTAGTTTCTTGAAAAGGCTCAAAGATAGTCAGCTGATCCCCATTTTTTCTTTTGAGAAAACCCTTGAGTGAATCTGTAAATTCAGAATCAAAAAATGAATCAAACTCAGATGGTGTAGATTTTGCAGTTTGAAAAAAAAAATTGTAAATATTTCCGTAAACTTATAAAACTCCATATGTTTAAGCCACTGACCTGTGGAGACGCTTTAACGTAATAAACATTGGTTCAGTCAGCAATAATAAAGTTAGATTCTGTTTGAGGATACTCAGCATTTGAGTGGACCAGAGCACAACTCGGTTAGCATCACTACCTCTGTACAAAAATCTGTTCTGTAACCTGACGGTTGGGAAAAGTGAACAGACTGATGTACAGTAAAGGAATTAGATTGGTGTCTTTCATTTGGCCCGGAAAGTCTGCATCTAATCAACCTAATGGAAAGAACCCGAGCTCAGGGTGAACAGCATCACGCACAACTCACTGGTCATCACTTATGTAAAGTAAATCATGTCTCCAGCAGGCTGGAAGCCAAGTTTCCATTTTTTGTGAGGTCAATTCCAGACGAATACAGTGACGTGATCAAATATGACAGCTGTTGTCAGGAGGAGTATAAAGTAGTATGAGTAGTATGAAGTAGTATGAAATAAGATGAGAAACAATGTGAGGAACACTAACTGTATCTGTTCTGTGCCCTGGCAGTGGACTATATAATGGGTCAGCTGGTGAGTGCTGGTTTCATTTAAGGACACGGCAGCAGGAGGAATTAACCTGATCACCGGTCTGTAGACTGGACAGGCCTGGCCTCAAAAAGCCTGACCACAAAACTCAGTCAATCACAAATTATATGATTAATTAAAATAAAACGTCTACAATTCTATCAAAACGTGACAAAATCCCTTTACCGCAAAATCTACCATCAAGAAGATGATAACCCAGTTAAATGTCAGTCATTTCTGTTCTGTACACTAAGAAAAAAGTCAGGGGTGGAAGCCCAAACACATCCCAAGCAGAACCAGAAGAAAAACTGTCTGTTCGAAATAAATAATCAATTAGATCCTAAATTATGCAGGATAGACACAGAGGTCACCTTTAGCTCTAAAAAAAGAGACTTATATAATCCTCAAGTTGCATTCAATGAATTAACAAAGGCTAATTAGTTAATTGTCCTTCCGATCCTATTGTGCTGGAAGTGGATTGGAGCATTAGATGCAGTACAAAAAAAAAAGTCCGCACCGGGACAGTTTTCTTTAACACACACTTTCAAAGCATGCGCCACCTAGGACACAGTTCATGGAAAGGGCATTTAAAAGAAACAACAATGTAGGAATGAATGAGAATCCAAAGTCATTCCCAGGAAACATGCATCAAATTTCATTATTTACAATCAGTTTGGTTCAGAGAGCAGCAGCTCTGTGCTATTCACAAGCTCATAGGGATGTTTTTCCCAGTTTTACATTTCCCAGTCTATAAAAACTTTTCTTTTAAAATGAATTAAATGTATATTTCCTCGATCCCACAGACTTGACAGTAACTCCGGCTACAGCACAGATCAGACGGTGAGGGTTCAGCTGGGAGTTTCAGGGTCTGGGAGAAGAAGCTAAATCCGGACAGGGACCCTGAACTGCTACCCTAATACTGTTCCTGTGGATAAACCCCGTTTACTTAGGCCTACTTATGACGTCTGTTTCATTGTGGGGATCAGACAGGGAAGGATGAGCTCTGCTCTAAGAATAAGATTCCCACTAAGACACGTTTTGATCTATTGTTCAAATGGTGCCCTCTTAATGAGAAAAGCATGATGTCCATGCTTACTGTGCACGGCCCTGTAGAGAAATTAGACTTTTCAGGCTGCTTTTCCTAAAATAGACCTTAACAGACATATCTCCTTAGATTTTAATGTAGTTTTTTAGAGTAAAATAAATAATGTTAGAAGCAATGTGAATTTGATTATATCATTCAGGTTAATGGAGTTGATGGTTGTGGAGATTTGGCATTTATATTAAAAAAAAAAATATTTTTTACAGGAGAGAAATGACAGAGCAGAAATATTTCACTGTGTCTAGCATAGAGGAGCAGTGTTTGCCGCAGGACTTGTGCAGGTGCCAGCCACATGCCCATTCTCACAAAGACCGCCTCACAAAGAGGGGTGAAAGAGACTCCCAGCTCCTTAAACTCTATTTAAGCGCACATTTAGGGAGCGAGCCGCTTTATAATCCAAGCACATGATAAAACAGGAGAAGCAGACAATATAAATCGGCTAAAGAGAACAAACACGCTAAAAGAGATTAAAATTAAAAGCAAAAAAAGGTGAAGCCTCTGGATTGCAACGTGGGCATTTGTGAACTCAAATTATTCAATCATTTGAGTTTTTCTTCCTCAAAGAACATCCATTAAGCACCATCCCTAAGTACGTTTTGATTTTCAACTGGATCTTTTTAGGAAAGGAAACATGCATTCATTCATAAACAGCCATTTCCAGCATTCAAGTACAATTTGTTTCATTCTGAGTTCAATTCAAAATACAGCTGCTCACATTGAGTTACTGCAGAATGAGTGAACACACACACACACACACACACACACACACACAAACACACACATACGCAGTGTCTCAGTGACCTTCACAACAATAAGATCAAGACTCAAGCTTCATATTTTCCTTAAAACTAAAAGCATCTAGAGCAACTGACAGATTTGAGGAACATCGGTTTCTGCTGATCCTCGCAAAGCGCCCTGAATGACATCACCGCCCCCTGAGCGATGTCCACCGGACCATTAAGTCCTCAGGTGCTTAGATAACAGACCTCGGAGAGGCACTGTCCTGCGGAGCACTCCAGATAGCAAAATGTGACTTAAAGGGCAAAAATTCACAACAGGCATCCAAACCCTCTGTGATTCTCCTTTAGTATCTGATCACATTATATTGTCTGAGCTTCTTCTTCTATGGGCCATCTGCCTTCTCCTCCATTCACATCTCAAATAGCCGTCTCTCACCTTGTGTCACCTCCTTGCAGAGGTTGTCGTTGTTGTTGTTGTTGTTGTTATTATTGTTATTGCTATTGACGCCTGTCCCCTCCTCAGCTATGTCATCCACAAGGCTGGAGGCGCCCTTCTCATCCTCCTCCTCCTCAGAGGCAGAGGAGCTCCACACCTCCATGGTGACCGGAGAAAAACTGCCCTCCGCCTCCCCGTCCATGGGCCGGATCTCTCACTCCTCTGATTCTACTGGGTCCTGGTTGTGCTGTGAGGCAGCCGCTGTGCTTCTGGCATGATTCTGCTGGCGTGTGTGAGGGAGGGAAACGGCATCCGATAGGCTAGGCGAGGGTGTGTGTGCAGCCGTGTGTGTTTGTGTGTGTGCAGGGGAATCTGAGCTGCAATGTTAATGTGTAATCCCTCAGACTGTACAGCCCATCTGTCGTCATGCCTGCCTCCGTTCACCTGGCCACGTTGGACTACCGGGTAAAAGAAGGGGGGGCAGTCAGGGGGAAGGAAACAGGAGGAAACTAAGTCCAAACCCGAAGCCTTGACATCTGATTTTAATATCTCCATCTCTGTCTGATCAGTGAAAGATGAGCACAACGTACGTATGAATGAGGATGAAATTCAAAGCGGGGTGCGGTTAAAAAGGATGCGGCACAAAGCCGGCCCACCCCTGTGGATTAAGGGAGATGGTTTGTCCCAGCCTGCCAGTGGCTGCTCTTTCCTCCACTCATACGTAACAGCAGACAGAAGGCTCTGCGTAATACTGCTGCAGACAGACCCACGCCCACTGACACAGGCCCGGTGGGCTGAGAGGAGACACACAGCAAGTCAATATCACACAAGCATCAATGATTCATCCAATGTTATGGCTTCGTTTGGGGCCATTTCAAGATATCGGAGTGCAAACATAACAATGTCTTATCTTCTGGTTTATGTATGTTATAGATTGTTTTTGTTCGACTAATCTTCAGACATTATCAGGAGGAAGAAGTCCTCTTTAGTGAACTATTCCAGTCCAGTCCTCCAGAGCCGCTGAGCTTCAGGTCTTAGAGCAGGGGTGTCAAACTCCAGTCCTCGAGGGCCGCTGTCATGCAGGTTTTAGAGGTAACCCTTTTTCAACACACCTGATTCACATCAAAGGGCCATTAGACAGGTGCAAAGCTCCACAATGTCCAGAGGAGATCCAATTTAATAAGAATCAGGTGTGCAGAAGCAGGAAAATGTCTAAAACCTGCAGGGCAGCGGCCCTCGAGGACTGGATTCTGACACCCCTGTCTTAGAGGTTTCCCTGTTTGGACACACCTGATTCCCGTCAGTGTGATGCTGTGCAGAGGGACGGGACCCATCTCATCAGAACCAGCTGCGCTCCAGTGGTGAAACTTATAAAACCTGCAGGACAGCAGCTCTGGAGGATCAGAGTCAAACTCCCACTCAACACACTCCCTGTCCAGTCTGCCCTCCAGTCTCTGCGCCACGCATCAAATATTCACCCCCTCTTTCATTTTTCAACAACAGAGAGGCTTTTTGCAGGTCAGATTCTGCACGCAAGAGACAGCCCAGACACAACATTTTGTCATCCATTTTTTGTCTTTGAAGGCACTAGTCAGCCCCGGAAGGATAAAAGATGTGGAAACTGGACGTAAACAACATCAAATCTTAATGAATGTGTTGAAAATTATGGATATGAGGAAGAAATGTTTAAGGACTAATAAACACGTGGGCTACATGCCCAGACTTAAGTGGTCCTCCAGCAACAGTCAGACGCACAGCTTATTGCTTTGAGTTCGATCTCCTTCTGAAATTGTTTCCCCTAAACATTCATCTCTGCTAATTCACGAACAGGTTTGATAAAGACAACGTCCCACAAACATTGAGATTCATATCAATGACTTGATTTGATCCTCATATAATTTTTATTCTTCTTTAAGACTCTTACCAGTTCAAATGTTCGAGGGGAGAGATCTACAGAAATACCACGATGTGGAACACACAGGTGCGGTTCTTTTATATATTTTATATAAATAACTGCTCATTATGGGTAAAAGATAAGCTCAGCTTGCTGTGTGATTATTTTTTATTTAACCACAGAAGTCAGACCCTTTATCTGCACGTCTGGGCCCCTTTCCGGGTCTTTCCATGTACTCTTAATTGAGCATGGCTGGTTTTCATCATTAGTTTTATTTCACGGTAGTCTGAAATTGAACCGTGAAGGTTTTCGTTCCGGATTGAACAGTTTTACAGTGGAACAAATGAGTGAAGCCACAGGCTGGGACACATGTTACACGCTTGGTAGAACAGATGAACACTGAGCCAGCAAATCCTGAATTATCCTGAATTACCGTTGCTCTAAAAGGTTCTGATTTCTCCAGCCTTAAAAACTGGTGGTGTGCCACAGTTTTTGTACGGTTCTGAAATATGACCCACAGTAACAGAATACAGAATAAAGGAACTTTCATCGTGTTAAGAGCTGTGCTGGATTGCTGGATTATTTCCCCGTCTGACTACATAATTGTTAAAGAGCCGCACGACTGGAGTACTAGCAAAGAGAAGTGGGACAGCTGGAGGGAGAACTGGCGACAGTGACGGGAAAACAACACCATATGCCACCTGCCAAAGAGAGTCAAACTCCGGAGTTAAGTCGGGTTAGTCTGTCCTGTTCCCTACAGCCGCACTATAAACCACTGCCTCCAGGAGGAAACTACGGGATCAGCTGAGGCTGGCAGGCTGTTCCACGGAAACTTTTAGGAGGCCTGTTAAACAGTAAGCTCAGATAAACGTGATTAGAAAATGAAAGAGGCGGTCAGGAGGAGCAGAACCTGAGCTGTTCTGAATCTGTTGGGATTTAAACTAAAGTAAATATGACAGTCGGTTTTCCATCTGACATTCAATAAATGAAGACTCGAGTGGGATTCTTCAATCACAACGAAGTTAACAAAGTGAAGCAAATATTCTGTTATCAGAAAGTTGGTTCAGTGTTCATAAATAGTCTCTCCAGCTCCAAACCTGCTATCTCTGAACAAAGTCTAGACAAACTATAAATCTAATTAGAAAGGCTTTGTGTAGCTGCAGCTATGTGCATGCTAACACTGTCATCATGATGTCAGAAAAGCTCTCAGATGTAGAGTCTGAAGCCTCTAGCATAAACAGCTTAAGACACCAGTCACAAAAGGGTAATTGGCTTGATGACATTTGACGTCTGTAACTCACAAATGAGGCCTTTAACCTGAAAGTGGTCGGAAAGAGAGTGGGGGAAAGATTTGGTTTCCTTTAAAAAGACAAACAAAGCACTGAACAAAAGCTCCTTTCCATTTCTGATCGCTGCCTCCAGACATTCCTCTGGAACCGATGATGTAAGTCCATGTCATCAAACCCATTTAGGTTAGCCTTCCTCTGACTTTGACATTTTTTAAAACTCAAACGGCTTAACCGGTGAGTGACATGAGGGATATGTCTCCATCAACATCCTCTAATTCATATCATTACAGCCTGTCATTTAAAAGTGATTCAATTTGGGATCTTGAGTAATTCCATTTAAAAAATCTCAAATTGGGAAATGATTAAATTCATCTGCTATGTGGGGTGTTTTTCCAGGCTTATTTTTTGGATAGCTCACAATAATAGAAGTTTTACAGAGTTACAAAAACAAAACTTTTTAAGCAGCTCAAACTCAGAAACAGTTCAAAAATATTTTTAAAAAATCATAAAACACACACACATATATATATATATATATATATATATATACTCGTGCATAAACTATGAATATGAAAAAATAAAGGCTAAAACGACACAAAGGCCGCTTGCCGTTGTTTTTAGAACAACCAGATGCACTGAGAGAAACCCATGACCACAACTTCCTACAACCTTTCATCCCAAAAGATAATGAAAACTGCCAGTGTAAAGAGTTTATGGATGGGGTGGTTAAAAAGGCACCAGAATGGAATAAAGGCCTAAATCAAAACCCTTCTCACAGCGTGAGTCAGCTTGGATCGGATGTGACTGTAAAGCTGCTCCAGCTGTCGGTCACAGCTCTGCTAAAAACCCTGTGAATGGAGGCAGAACTGTACTCACAGAAGTACTTGAGCGTCTCCTGGATCTGCTCGTGAGTGAGACCCAGCACGACCTCTGGTGGCAGCAGCGGGGTGTGCAGCCAGTCGTCCTCGTATCCAAACACACTGTCTGCTCGCAGGGTGTAGTTGGGCTGGCCTTCAGATAGGAGGCTCACTATCTCCAGCTCTGGCAGGTTTGAGCAAAGGTCTGAGCACAGAGAATAGAGAAAGACACCGACAGCTTCAGTGTCATACTGCCCCCTACTGCCCAAGGCCGGAACTCACAATGCCATGCTTTTTCAAGATTTAAGATAGTCCCTGTTTTTAATTAAAGCCTGATCCAAGAATAAAAAAAATGGAAAATTATTTTTTTTTCGGTCTGAAGTCTTTATTTGGCCTTTTAACAAAATAAGTAAAAAGAAAAAACAAATACATTTTTAATATTAACAATTTATTACTATGCGATAGGTCAAGATTATTTTTCGTGTAGTCTTCTGCCCCCTGTTATCAGGTGTATCTGATTGTGTAAATTAGGATTTTTTTCAAAGTTTTTACCATTAAATTATCTAAAAGGTGTCAGACGTAAAACATTTCAGAAACCGTATGTATCAAATATGATACATATGGCATTACGGGGTTAAAGTACCCAGTTTTTACCATTAAATTATCTAAAAGGTGTCAGACGCAAAACATTTCAGAAAACGTATGTAACAAATACGATACATTTGGCATTACAGGGTTAAAGTACCCAGTGAACGGAGCCTACCGGTCAGAGTGGACACGTCGTGGTGGGACTGTCCACCTGGGACTCTCAGGTTCCCCAGTGGAGCCGGGGGGGCCACACCCGGGGCCCCCGCCGCCTCCCCCTGCCCCTCATGGAGGGAGAGGGCCGAGTGGGAGTCCAGATGGGCCTGCGGGTGCCAGGAGGGAGGAGAAAGAGGAGCCGGGGGAGAAGACGAGGACAGCGTTTCTGGGAGTGGACGGTTCAGGGTGAAGACAGAGCCGTGGCTGGGGGGCCTCTAGCTGCTCACAGAGGAAATCCAACCTGTCCCGGGCACCGGGTTCCCTCCCAACCAGCAGGTAACGGCTGGAGGAAAACAAAAAGGGGAGACATCTGAGCAAATTCAGGGATGTGGAGGCTTTTCAGGAGCTTTAAGCTCAAACGTTGGTAAAGCTTTATGTTTGTGTCAGTGTGTACTGGAATACAGTCTGATCACGCTTTGTTTTCAGTTTGAACTCCTTTCCAAACATTTTTCTTAATATTGTTTCTCTTTACTGTGTCTGCAGAGATAAGTCGATCAAAGAAAACCTGAACTGGTTCGAAAACAAAGAGAATCACATCCCTGCCTGTCTGGGGCATCCGAACTGATTTGCAAAACTCAGTTCTGTTTAAACACCGAAAAGCATGTTGATCGTTTACATTTGAAACAGTAAACAAGCAGAGATGCGCGCGGCCCAAACCAGGGGCGCCGGCCTTGTTTAAAGATCATGGACAAAACATGCCCATCGGCAGCAAACCCGTCATTAATGTTATACCTTTTATGTTCAGAACATTTTCTGGAGTGATCCGTTGAATTGTTCAACTGAAAAAGACATCTAAGAGAAAATGTCCAAACTAAATCATAATTGACTGAAATGACTGTATCCAAATGCTTTATTTTCTGAGACTAGTTTCTGATGCGTCTGATGGCGTGAAATTATCCCGGTGTATTTTTAAAAAGATGTCAGCTCCAGATGTCAGCAGCATCGGAGCTCCTGTTGGATTAAACCATTTACAGAGTGGGACCTGGCCTCCAGCCTGGTTTTGGGGTCACAGAGATCGGGTTACCGCTGCATGCGGATCAGGTTCTCCAACACAACATTACACGCCTCTATAAACACGGCAAAGCGGGAGATGCAGGACGTTACCATGTTTAATACACAGAATCAGCACTAGTTCGAATCTGCATCCCGGGTCTGTGAGTTTTGCAGAACAGAAGTTTGACCGAACACAACATAGAAAAAAGGCCTCTGCTTATGAAAGGTGACGCAGGCACAGATTTTTCCTAAGAATGCTTTTTTTATGCAACATTGCAACAAACTGCAAGATAAACTCTGCTGCTATTTGTTATGTTTCAGGTCCAAAAACACAAAGGCTTTTCATCTAAATCAGAATTCTGGACTGAAATTTGACAATAGTCAACACCACTCTGATGACACGTGCTTTTTATAAAAAAAATATTGCTTGCTGGATAGAATTAAAGAAGGATTAGTTTCAGATCTCATCTGTCCTGAGGATGTTTCTCTCCATATGATGATGCATAGGAATTATAACATTTGGAAAAAAGGTGCCCACAGTTTATCATTTCTATGCATGTTTTGATAACGTCATATTTGACACTTTTATTTTCTTCAAAAGCAATGCTATAAATGAACTCACATAGAGGGTTGATGCTCGGCTCTGGCTGCTAACAAAAAGACACCGGACACCACGGCTTCCTTATTGCAGTCGATAAAACCAGCAGCACGGGGGGGGGGGGGGGGGGGG